CTGGCTGGTTGGTTGGTTGCTAAAGACATGAAGGATGAGAAGATTCACTGCCAACTAACGCCACAATGAGGCAAATGAGAAAGAGGATGGTCCTTCAGTTATCTCCTTCCTACAAGGCCAGTCACAACCACTCCTCTGACAAACTAGAGGAAGAAAACAAAAAATTAGATGTGAGGAATTCATTCAACATCAAAATAAAATAAAATGGATCTGTGGTATTCTGAGGAAATCTCTTAAGACTAACAGACAGGGCCAAAAGGAAGAAAAATGGGACTATTCTAAATCAATAGATTTTAAAACATCTTTAAGCCTGTGCAAATGACCTGAAAGTTAATAGTGCTTTATTGCTATTTTCTACTATCTGTAGGCCAATATTCATAGCAAATTTCACAAAGATTTTAATATCAACTATGTACTTAGTCACTACCCTAAAATGTAACCAATGTAAATTCTTAAGATTTCATACATCACATTAAAAATGGCTTTACATGAGTTTGAACCAAAGTATTAATCATTTAATTTAACATTGTAATTAGATATTTGTCTAAGAAACAAGCATCCTAGCAGGTCACAGAAAAATACTATGAGAAATGGAATGCATCAGCTAACAGTAGGACTATTCAAAGGCAAATATTAATAGTTCAAAAGAAAGATGAGAAGTGGTTAGCTTAGTTACTATTAAGAAACACCAAGTTTTAGAAGAATACTTAAGAAAACCCAGTACCTAGACCAGTTGTGATAAGGCATCAGGCACTAGACAATGGACTTGATAAACTTGCAGATCAAAGTAAACAAATAGCAGGTTTATCAAAGCTCAATGCTAGAAAACTATGGTAGATTGGAAAGACAGCCAAAAATGGTATGGAGACTTAGACAATTCACAGGTAACTAAATATAGAAGGCAAATTTAATTACTAGCTGAAAGCAGGCCATGGGATCCAGAATATATTAAAAAAATCTCTTCACTCCTATGTTGATTCTGAAACTTTATACTTATTGAGGCCAAGTTGAGGATTTAAGCAATAGCAGAATTCTTTATAACACAGATAGGAAATTTCCCATCTTTTCATCACCATCAAGTTTTTTTTTTTTCAGTTAAAGAGAACTATACCAGTTGTATGAAATAAAAGACTCTTTAGACAGCAAAAACGGTGTATTAAAAAAATGTAAGAACTATATTACAGTCTTATTAGATTGCCAAGTATTACTTTTGTTACAAGAAGCCTTGAAAAAAAGTGTATTCTATTTCTTGCACATAGAACCTTTACAAATAGCACTGAGGATTAAAATTCCAAGTTTATCTATAGTTGACAGTTTGGTAAATTCTAATTTAAATAGTACCAATTTTTCTTTCTTTGGCTATAATCCCAAGATGGCACCACTTCAAAGGCCAACTGGGTAAACCAAGAGGCTGGACACCTCTCTCCTGCAACACACTGCTCCCCTTTCCTCCCGCCCTTTTTCCGTCACCATGAGGGAGGGTATGTCCTGATGGAGGCAGCAGCGTTAAATAGGCTGTGTAACCTAAAGTATGTACCTGATAATCTGCTTTATCAAAGTGAGAGCATTCTTTTCTCCAGAACCTCCTGCACACTACCAACATCCCTCTAGTAGGAGCATACTGAAAGGTGAAAGTGCAATTCAACAAAGAATAACCTTTTCCAAAAATGTTTTATTGCTACAAGTTGTAAGATTTCCAACCATCAAAACTGGAACAAAACTTGAAAGGCTCAGCCCCCTATGGGGCAGCACGGCCACTTCATGGCAGTTTTTCATGTAGATCTGGCAGTGGATTTAGCAAAGTTCAGATGACAGCAGGATGGTATCAAGAAACCTTGCCTGTAACTTAAGAGGTGGAGCACAAGGTAGAACAAGACTACCTTCCATTGGAAACATCAGTCTTTCTCTGAATTCTCTTAGTAAGAGTAATTTCAAAGTTTAAGGCTGGTAATTATTAAGACAAATAGATACATATCTTGTAAGAAAATCCAACACTTCACTTTCAAACTTTTCCCGAACAGATGCTACACGTGGTAGCTGAAACATTCCTAGAAATGGTGTACAAGAGACTTCCTTGGATTTATCACAACCTACCTTATCTAGACCGCATTTTTCTGGCCTCTTCTTACAGTCACAGCTTTCATTTCACAGCTCTAACAGCAAAATATCGTGGAGTACAAACAACACTGTGAAAAACAAGGGAGTGATAAAACCCACAGGAAAGCTATTCACTAGTATTGGGACTACTTTTAGTCATACTATTAGATCACCTTTATTCTTGTGCATAATAAATAGGTACAGAAAAATGTTGAAAATGCTAAAAACTCAACTATCAAATTAAAGCTGAGGAAAACTAACCTGCTAGCCAGATTTTAGTTTTTAAATGAGAAATGACAAGAGTAGTAAATATAAAGAAAAACAAAAAGAACTTTACTTCTCCTATGTTAATACAGGTCAAGGGACCCTTTCTTTTCAAAAGGGTTGATAACACCATTCTTAGCAATAAACATAAGGCACTTGTTTAGATTACAACATCACTGCATTTCCCCCCGCCCCGCCACTTTTTTCCTAACCCTGTTTTCCCCCACAGCATCATTTGGAATAGAGTGAATGAGGCAAATGTGAGATGATCCAGTTCATACTATCCAGGGTAAGATAGCACAGTACAATGTTTTAGGGGTGATGTCTGGACATAAAATGAACCTATGTCAATATCCTCTGAGACCAGACAATGTATCCACTATCAAGTAAACCTGAAAGAAAATAAAATATTTATTTAATAGTTCCAGTAAAATTGGATTGGAATACAATATACATGTTAGGAATTTAGCTCCTCATGGGTGGCCTCTGCATCAAGAGTTCTTAGTACTTATGAATATTCATTCTAAAACAATCTACATCATTTGAACATTGTCAAGACAAATATAAGAATTTCATTTCAATATACAGTAGAGTTTAAACATAATTCACACATACACCCCCTATTTTATGGCTGGTGCCTCCTCCAAACACCTCATCAGTGGCAGAGGTAGCACTAGGGTTCTTTACCAACAGTAAGAACTTCAGTTGCCACTCACAGGAGAAGTTGAAAAAAGTTTTTTTTTTTTTTTTTTTTTTTTGCCATCTGTTAAGATGTTCCTGAGACAGGGCCAGTTAATAAACATAACAAAGCACTAGAGTCCAGTCTGTACTTGTCTTTACACCACTAAATTACTAGACTGGGATGTGGAATGCAGGTCATGTACTATGAAATGCTGAGTTTAGCACAACTGTTCAATCAGTAAAAGGATCATGTCTCCTGAAAATTCCCTTTAGAATATACTTTCTATAAACTAAAAGTACCACAAAAAGGTCAATTATATATACAATCGATTCATTTTACTTAATATCCTTATTTGCTGAGATCTTGCAAATGCAATGAGAATACAGAGCCTCTGGCTAGTTCTGTGTTTGGGTTTAAAATTTTAAGGCTCATTTTCTCAAACAAAATAGCAGTCCTCACTTTTCCTTTCAAATTATTAATTATATTCATAGTACCTGCTGCCATCCTAGCCCTCAAGGAAACCTTAATGCAGGAACAGCACTATGCTTGCTTAATGGAAATTCCCTGACACCAACACCAAGTCCATTCCAAAAAGTTCCCTTCTGAACTAGCCTTACAGCACATCGCACTGCCTCTGGCTTGCACCTCTGTTTCCACCTGTGTATTTTCACAGAAGCCCAACACATATTAGTTGAAATATTCACACAACTGTTTTTCAAAACAATTTATTGCATCATATTTGGTACCTTATGTTTGACAACAAAAAGGAAATTACATCTGTAACTGCAGGAAAAAGAAGCTGGTCTGTTATTGAAAAAAAAAAAGAAAGAAAGAAAGAAATCTTGGGCCCTTTAAAAATTACAAAGTCTTGGGCTTGCCTGAAACAACTGAGCAAGAAATATATTCTTAGAAATGTAGGGCTTCAAGTATTACAAACCTGTGACACTGTGGAAAAATTCCAGAGGTATCTAAACTGCAGCACATTTTTTTCTGCATATCATGAACAAGGCCTGCTGAGGTTTTTAACTATTAGTCTCTTGATCAGTCATAGAATGGTAGTCAGGAGTTCTGCTCTTTAACTTCAAGCCATGGTGGATTTTCTTTTTTCACTCTTGGGTGAAAAGTTCATGCTTGCTAATTAGTTGGTGCCACATCACAGTGCATTTGGTTCTTGCATTACAGTTTTAACAAGTTTGGCCAAAACAATGCTGAAAGGTTTGCATTGTTATTTTAGTTCTTCAAGTTTTAGTTAGAATTGAGATTGTTCCAACTGGTTCCTTCAGTTAAAAACTGTGGTACAAGAACACCAAACTGATCATGTACAGTGAATTTTGGAAACACAACAAGCGTATTGAACACCCTCTAGGTTTTCTTATAATTCTGCTTGGTATCTATATGTCCCAGCTTCTACAACATCAAGCATCTGTTGTAGTTTCTCTGTAAATAGTGATTCACATTGCATACTTCCTATGGTCATAATCAACCCCGTAACAAAATCAGTTAGATGCTAAAGCCCCAACAACTCTTTGTGCTCAGTGAAAGAATCCAGTGCTAAAACAGCATTTATGCTGTCTGAGATATAGTAAAATCTCACAAGACAAATTTAAAGTAATATTTCTGCCACACACCTGCTTTGTTAGCTGTAACAGCCTCCAGATTTTATATAAATTAGTTTAAAAACATGGGTGGATAGGAAGGAATAGGATAAGGTATCTTTTTTTAACCCCTCAATTTTAGCAGCTTTTAATTTTTTAAGAAACTGAACCTATATCCTGTAATATGTTAGATATTTTATATATACTTTTTCAGCAGGATAAAAAACGTAAAACACTATTTGAAGGCAAGAACATTTACTCTTCTCATTCTGTGTAAGTTAGAGCAATGCAGCAGGTGCGTGACAAAAATATTATACACTAGATATGGTCCAAAGTCATTCCGTTTGCTTGTTTAATGATGTTCAAATTTCATTGGCCAGTTCTTCAGTTTCTGCAGAACTATCTCCATTAACTGTGATCTTCATATCCTCTTCATATCCAGGAGGCATGAAAGCCAAAGCGTAAGGGAAAAGCTTATGACAATTTGCTCTATAAACTTCAGCAGCTTCTTTACAGTCTCCTAGGCTACCATCACACAAGGCTTCTAATACCTCCATACATGTCTAGAGAAAGAAAAAAGGTCACATTATAATTTGCTTAAAAGAAAAAAAAATTTATTGTGAATTTATTGGACATTTCATTATCAAAAGGTTTCTAAAACGAGAGGCAAAATGTACATATTTAAGATACAGAAAAGTATTTATTTCCACTATGCATTCCATTAGAATTAGTTTCTTCAGAATTGCAAGGTTTACACAAAAGGATGGATATATAAACAGGGTCAGGACTAAGGTGAGACAAGCAAGGTGTGGGGTGCTACATCCAAAGACACTCAACTCTCAGCAAGTAAATCTCTGGCAATGTTGCCTCAGCCTACCTGGCCCTGTGCATAAGTACTGACATTTACATGCCACTGTCAATGACTATACCTAAGTCTTTAAATTTTTTGGAGGCTCAGAGCCAGATGGCAAAATCAAACATTATTTTTTAACCTTCTATTCAAATTAAAGAGAACCTTTACGTTATGTCCACTGATGAAGAAGGAAAAAGAGTCTCAGAAACACAAAGGATATATACATCCAAGGAAAATTTTTCATGAATACTAATAATCTTTTCAACCAAACCCTTAAGTCGGTCTGCTTATATTTTTAAATGATTCATGGTGACTTGGCATTTCTCATGCTTTGTTTCTTCACCTTTTCACTTGGAAAATACTACGAAGTTTCCAGATGTAAGTACCCCACAAACTCTGGCTGTCTATAAGGTACTAACCTAAGGGAAAGTGGAGGTGGTAGCTGCTCTGCCCTATGCGACCCCATGGGCCGTAGCCAATCAGGCTTCTCCGTCCGTGGGACTTTCCAGGCAAGAGGTACCGGAGTGGACAGGAGCCATTCCCTTCCCCGGGGATCTTGCTGTATATGTGTGCACACATATACAATCTTAAATAAATTTAAGATAAATTAAGTTTCTGAGATGGAGTCATAATAGTTTGGAGAAGAGTATGCATAAATAACAAAAAAATTAATTGGTGAAAATTATTCTGGTGAAAATAGAAACAAAGAGAGTCAAGTAACTCTTACAGAGAAATAATGAAAAACTCTTTACCTGGAGGTTTCTGTTAGTGAGGGATTCATCAAGTGTTGTTGCCAACTCTATAGCTCGCTTCTGACTAGAAGGATCTAAATAATATACCATTTTGGCAGCTAAATGAGAGGGAAAACGGAGATGTTTTATTTTAAGGTGACACCAGCATTTTATCTTCTATCCATTCAAATATAAAAAGCAAGATCTATGTGTACACAGTGTGGCACTTTACTAGAAAAATGGGAATAGCCATTTGAAATGCTGTTATTTGAAAAAACAAAACACACAAACCTGACAGAGTAGACCAGAAGCAGTCTAACTGTCCAAACTAAGAGAATGGTTAAGGTAAGAGAGACTAGGAAGAAATACCAATACTTCTAATAAGATTTGTCTTTGTGTGCTGGGACCATGAATGGCTTTCTTCTTTCTAGAATGAACGTAATTTGGGATTAAGGAGAACACTTGTGTGTCTGTGTGTTGTGACAGAGAGGGGTGTGGGAGATACCCAACCCTGACAGGTATGAGCACACTGCTAAAGCACTACCCATGGGTCCCATCAAGTCCAGAGTTTGGCTCATTAGCACAGACTCTTGCCAGATGATCCCTACCTGTAAGATGGTTTTCAGGTGTTCAGTACTGTCAAGTTTGACAGCTTATATAAGCATGAGAAATGAAAGATGGTTGCATCTAAGTGAATTTTAAGAGCATGCCAATGAGAGAAAAAAATAAAAAGAAAGATTCTCCTTCAGTGTATGTAATAGATAGATAAATTCAGTTATACCTGCTTCTTTATAATGCCTATGCAGAACCAGGAGAAACTATTAACCCTGACTCATAGTAATGATTTTATCCAAAACATTTAAAAATATAAAGGAGGTTAAGCTGTCTGTTTCATATGATTAAAATGTAACATACACATTTGCCTTTGCCATACAAAAAGTGTGTAACCTGTCAATGACCCACTGTAGTAAAAACTGAAGCTGTTTTAGAGGCTGAGATAAGGACAAAATAAACTGATTACCTGATAATCTATGTGGCAATGAATCAGAATTCCTTTTCAGAAAAGTTTCATTAAAGTTCTTTGGATTCGTTGCTCCAAAAAGACGATTCATTTCTTGTTTTAATACTGTTCTAACTGCATCAGGTAAATCTTTACTTTCACACGCTGCTAAACAAATTAAAAACAAACTGTTATTAGGCAGTTAGATACTGATACAATTTGTGGAATTAAGAAATTATCTACCTGATGAGGTCAATGAAACAAAGCAATTATATATACAAAGACTGGATAAACTTACTAATAATCCAACATTTAAAGAAGAGCTAATCTACATAAATTTAAAGAATGTGTTGCTTCAGCAGAATAATCTAATAATTTTCTAAAGGCTACCAAATATAGTGCAGAAGATTAACAGAATTTTCCTCACCCTATCCCATATTCTTCTGTACCCAAGTAAACCATTACAAATTTATCAGTTAAAAAAAAAAAAAAGCCATGGATCTCTATATTCAGTGATTATGTGAACTGAGCTATCACTACGTAATAACTTCCAAACGACCACCAAAGCATTTTCCTGTAAGGAATACACTGTTGTCATCATATGCTTTGGCATTCAGAGATGGAAACACTGACTCCCAGCCTCTCTGGGCTGAATCCTAGTTTGGTACAGAGAGATAGTCTGGAGTTTTGAGCCAGACAGACATGAGTATGATTTTAGCGTGGACAAATCATAACCTCTCTGAACCTATTCCTTAATCTGTAAAATTAAGGTGATATCTAACCCAGAAGAATCACAGTAAGAAAAAGCTACAAATAAAATGTTACTGTTTAGTCGCTAATGGAATTTATAGTCTCCATGGAATTTTCCAGGCAAGAATACTGAAGTGGATAGCCATTTCCCGCTCCAGGGGATGTTCCCGACAAAGGGCCAAACTATATCAAGCCCATGTCTCCTGCAGTGGCAAGTGGATTCTTAGAGCTGAGTCATCTGGGAAGCCCCACAAGTAAAATAGCTAATGACATAACAGATATTCCATATACTGTCGGTACTATTTTTGTCACAGACTGAAGAAGACATAAATAGATTTTCCTTATGATTAGAAACTAATGTTGTGGCTTTCAAACTCTTGACTACAACCAAGTATCTGTACTCTGATGAGCATGTTTCCTATAAACATAACTTATTATAGGGAGCGAAAGTTTCACAGAACACTGACCCTTACATGTGCAGCACATTCTTGTATTTTATACTCTAATTTATTTCTATTTTAAGTTTTCAAATGCTTTCAAATGATGATGACCCACTCAACTTCTTCCATTTCTAATAGATCACTACCCTAAGTTTAAAAAACACTAACTTTTAAATAGCAAACATCCAAGTGAAATATTGTACATGTAGTTAGTAACTAAATAATTGATTGATATGTGCCCTTTGTTGGTTGAACAGCATTTCTTCTATCATTCTACAGAATTGGTTAACTCAAATAAATGAGTTACTAATTAAAGAATTTAGCTTAATCTCTATTATGCCTGTATTTTCAACTTGGATTTGGAAAATTTATCAATATTTGTCTTGTGGGTGGGGAATGGGCTTTGGAGAAGAGAGTGAACTGGAAGGAGAAAATCTGTTAAAATAGGTTATAGCCAATTACACTGAATATTATGTCAACAAACAGGTATCTATAAAATTTTTTACTTCTAGTGGCCTCAGTGGTTTGCCTGAAATGCTTTCAGGACACTTTATATATGCAGACAGGAAAGTAATTTTATGGCTCATAGCTGGAATCCATACTTTTCATGTTTTTCATCACTTTCATTAACTTGTTTTCCTCAGATTAAAAAAATCTCAGAAAAATCAAAACTGCTATTAAAAAAATCCCATACAGTTAAAAATACACATATATGAATATATATGTCTTGTGTTTAGGATGTGTCAAAGAGGGAATATTTAAATAACTCCCAACATCAACTAACAGCTATTTCCCTTTTTCTGTATTAACATTTTATATCAATAAAGCATTCATTTATTTAACAGATTAAAAAAGGAATGTTTCCAAGAACACTTCCTTACTAATTCACAAGTTGTTTCTGGTCAACTAACTCAGTTTTCTCCTCTAATCACTGATCATGTAAACTGGAACTGCAATTTCCAAGAAGATATTAATTACAATCAACCAACCAGTCAATTCTGCTGTAGCAAAATTTAGACTGTCCCATGGAAGGAGCAGCCTCAAATGTCCCAGATTTATTAAATAGTCTTTTATGGGTGAAGACTAATGGAGGCACAGAGAGTCAATCTAAACATTTTGTGACACTGATAAAAACTAACCAAAAATTACTGATGTCTCAAGAAAGTAAAAAATCTCAGACTATCTAATTGTCTTCCATGATACATTAAACCTTTTCCAAGGGGCTTATGAGTTGAGTCCTGAGATACCCTAAAATTAAAACAACGTTTGGTTCATGTTATTAGCAGACTGAATAAGTTTAGTTATCACCAACAGTTAAAAGTCACATTAAAGAGGGGGCTGATTCTTAGCAAAAGGAGTTTCCCTGGGTTCCCAGACTAACCAGCATTTTTCTGTTAAAATTTCAGTAGAAAAGGATATTTTGTGTGAGATAATGGTTACTTACTACTGGTTATAGTACAACCTACTGATTACTACTCAAAACAGCAAAATAAATAAATGACCATATTAATTAAGCAAGGTTTTTTTTTGAGGAAATACGTAAGTACAGATGAGAAATAATCTGCAGAGAAAAGGAAAAAATGAGTTTGTACAAATGAGAGAGGAAAATAATGTAAGATTCATTACAGATTAAGGTGACCAAAAACTACTAATTTTAAAAACATTTAACAGAATATAAACATGTAAGCAGGTATCAAAACAAATGAATACCTAAAGTCCTATTTCTACTTAGAACTGACCAGAAATATAATTAAAATTGCCTTAAGTTCTACAACTTAAAAAAAAAAAAAGTGAAAACTTGGAAGAGATACTATCATTTGCATAATTAAAGGGGGAAGGGGATATTCTACATAGTAAATTACTTCATGGGGCGATTACTATTTACACTGGTAGTGTAACATTCTAAAGATTTGGAAGATGCTCATAACCATGCTAAAGTGAACATTCACTTAGAGAAGCTTCTACAACTGATAAAGCAAGTGTGGAGCCATTGTTTTTTCTTTTTCCTCCATAATTCCTGGAAAGGTGTTACTGTGAGGATTTCTTCATAAAGAAATTGCTACAATATAACTTAATAAGACAAATGTGCTCCTGACAAGTTACTTCAAAATCAAGTATTTTTCTCAAGAACCAAATATATTAATTAGTAAAAGGAACTCATAGGATGCCTAAATTTAGTGAAAATAAGTATTACTTTGTAAATCTCTTCCTGACAATGATATCAGATGAATACCTGAAGCAATGACAATAGCTAACATTAACTCCACTCAATTCTAACTTTTAATGTTAGGACCATTCTTTGTTCTTGTAAAGTTCATAAGCATTTTAATTTTCTGAAACAACTGTTACAAGAAAATGGTTATATGTTCATCAAGCCACACACTCATTAGAAGTATTTGCTTGTCACTTCCAATTTATATTTCAAAGGAATATAACTCTAACTCCATTAACTTTATATGTACTGTTTTATTATCTTTCAGGAAAGAACTGACTGCATAAAAATGAATTGTGTATATATTGAAAATAGCTTGAATGCATTTCATCCTAACTGAAAATGATTTATGGCTGTTATTTCCAGCCTTAAATTTTTGATTCGTGATTTCAAAAAATTTTTTTCTTTAATACCAAAAAAAAAAAAGACTAAAAAGAAACTTCCTTATTTTCACTAAATACAGCAATTATTTCTACTTTCTACAATATGACTACATAATTACTTTAGCTTCTCTAACAGGAAATCACTTTTTTGACAAGCATAAATATGATCTAAATAAGGCTTTACCTTTTCTTCTAAGTCAAAACAATGCTAACTAATTTAGCATTTTCAAAAGAATGATTGGGATACCTAGTTTAATCTCATTTTTATATAATGCATGGATTCACATGGAACTGAGTAGTTAGCAATGAGACAGCTAATAGTATTTTCAAATTCTGCAGACTGTTCTACTAAACATTCAATTCTCCTTATCCAGTTACTTAAAAACCGAAGCAAAAAAACACTACTTGACTACAGAAGTACTTTATTCTAAATTTAAAGCTCTGGTAGTAGAAAGAACAATATGAAGATCTGGGCTCTCATTCCTGTTTCATTACTAATTATTGGTGTTATCTTAAATAAGTAATTTAGTGTTTTAGCGTCCTAGATTTCTCAACTATGAGAGATAATTGGCATAATACTCCACCTTTCATTTTCTAAAATTCTGTAGCTTTACTTCACATTAAAACTTACATATGGATCTTACTGACTAAACATTTGAAAAGGACAACAATTTGTTTTAAAGTTACTTTTACCCTACATTTACTGACAAAAATTTTATGATTCAAATCATTATGCTAGAGACAGGTAAACAAGATAATTTGTCAATTTCAAAGAGATTTTTAAATTTTAGAACAATAAGCTACATCACATAATGACGTATTCACGATTCAAAATTTCAACTTATTAACCTTTAAGAAACAGAAATAAAGATGATTCTCAAATATCTGACTGAATGATTCTGTGTCAAAATCAGGTAACACTTCTAGCCTTAAAATAAAGATCTTCACCACAAAGAAAAGGCTTTGTTTCTTCCCCAGGCTAACTTAATACATAACAGTTTTAAAATGATTTGCGTTTATGATAAACTTGTATAAATCTCTTATTCAGTCACTATCAGCTACTGCAAATACTTAAGTAACAGAAAATTAAAACATACCAGTACTAAAGAGTCGAATCATACATTCATGAAGCCAGGGATGACTAGAATCAATAGCAAATGCTCTCTTTACTGATTGTAGCATCAAAAGAAACTTTTCTATAAAAAGGAAAAAGATATATTTTGATCATTTAATAAAAAGAGATACCCTCCTTTAGAGGACTAATAGTATCTTACAAATAGAAAAACTCATTTAGAGTCCATCACATCTGGACAGCAACGTATGACTGAAGCAATTGACTTCCTCAGGTTAGCAACATTAGCTAATATTTTCCACACAACATTAAGAAAAATCGTTTTATTAAGTATAAAAAATTTAGACAGCACTCAACATTATTTGGACTAATGCCACATAAACAAAAAATTTTTGAAGCCATTTCACTTCTTAATCTCCTTTATGTAGTCAAATAAACAAATTTTTCCTATTACTTAGAAAACTTCATTGTTTATGCTTAAAAGTAACATTGTTTACACCTTTCTTGTGTTTTGCAACATGTGAAATCATTTCCCTTCCACCTCACTGTTCCTCTCCGGTCAATCCCTGGCTTCTCTTCCCCATCAAAGGTAGAGTATTGCCCAAGGTTATGTTTTTAATCACTTTCTAATCTTTCCCAATGCTATCTCTTCCCACCCCATCCCCCAAGTTTTCCAAGCTTTAGTAGTGTCTCCACCTGATGGATGGAAAAGTGCGCCCAAATACTCACCACAATTCCAAGTCTCACCCACAGTCGTCTTTGTTAAGACTTCTCTAATAGGGTACAATTCTCCAAATATCAAAATTTGAAACCCTAGGCTCCTCTGACAATTCCTTTTCCCCTAACCCCTACATTCAGAAAGCTAACAATACGGCTATGTCCTTTATCACTGCCCATTTCAGGCTGTAGCAACAGACTCCAAATGCTGGAGAGTGACTGAGAGGTAGTACATAGCAAAGAAGCCAACTCCACAGGATTCAGACTGCCTTTCACTACTGAAAGCAGAACAGCTTTTGTATTTGACACTTTGGGGTTCCATGCAAAAATATTTGTTTAAAAAATATTTGCTTAAAAGAAAGCTGTGTTAACTATTAACAAAACTTCAAAATTATTGGACTATTTATTAAACTAATTTTCCAAATTACAACAGGAGCACTGTGGAAAATATAGAAGAAAGTATTTTAATCACTCAAACTCCATCAAAAGACAATCTCTTATGTTTTGATCTATTTTCTTCTTAGCTAGTGTTCTATTTTACATACTCATATAAGTATCTTAATAGAGATTAAAATAAACTATAGTTAGTTCTGAACCTTATTTTGAAACAATGTTATAGAGTAACCTTTCCCCACCATTTGATAATCCTGATTTTTTGATGGATACTCTACAGAGGTATCATTTTATTCTATCTCTTTTAGCAGGACAGTTACTGTTTGGAGCAGTAACTTTTGTCAGATGTTACTAACCAGTTTCTCTTTCCTTGAATACCTATCACCTTAGTGATACAATTTTTTTTGAATGAATCATTTGGATTCAGTTCAGTCACTCAGTCGTGTCTGACTCTTTGTGACCCCATGAATCGCAGCACACCAGGCCTCCCTGTCTATCACCAACTTCCGGAGTTTACTCAAACTCATGCCCATCAAGTCAGTGATGCCATCCAGCCATCTCATCCTCTGTCGTCCCCTTCTCCTCCTGCCCCCAATCCCTCCCAGCATCAGGGTCTTTTCCAATGAGTCAGCTCTTCGCATGAGGTGGCCAAAGTATTGGAGTTTCAGCTTCAGCATCAGTCCTTCCAATGAACACCCAGGACTTATTACCTTTAGGATGGACTGGTTGGATCTCCTTGCAGTCCAAGGGACTCTCAAGAGTCTTCTTCAACACCATAGTTCAAAAATATCAATTTTTCGGCGCTCAGCTTTCTTCACAGTCCAACTCTCACATCCATACATGACCACTGGAAAAACCATGGCCTTGACTAGACGGACCTTTGTTGGCAAAGTAATGTCTCTGCTTTTTAATATGCTATCTAGGTTGGTCATAACTTTCCTTCCAAGGAGTAGGCATCTTTTAATTTCACGGCTGCAATCACTATCTACAGTGATCTTGGAGCCCAAAAAAATAAAGTCTGAAACTGTTTCCACTGTCTATTTCCCATGAGGTGATGGGACCAAATGCCATGATCTTAGTTTTCTGAACGTTAAGCTTTAAACCAACTTTTTCACTCTCCTCTTTCACTTTCATCAAGAGGTTTTTCAGTTCCTCTTCACCTTCTGCCATAAGGGTGGTGTCATCTGCATATCTGAGGTTATTGATACTTCTCCCAGCAACCTTGATTCCAGCTTGTGCTTCTTCCAGCCCAGCAGCGTTTCTCATGATGTACTCTGCATGTAAGTTAAATAAGCAGGGTGACAATATACAGCCTTGACGTACTCCTTTTCCTATTTGGAATCAGTCTGTTGTTCCATGTCCACTTCTGTTGCTTCCTGACCTGCAGACAGGTTTCTCAAGAGGCAGGTCAGGGGGTCTGGTATTCCCATCTCCTTCAGAATTTTCCAGTTTATTGTGATCTACACAGTCAAAGGCTTTGGTGTAGTCAATAAAGCAGAAATAGATGTTTTTCTGGAACTCTCCTGCTTTTTCGATGATCCAGCAGATACTGGCAATTTGATCTCTGGTTCCTCTGCCTTTTCTAAAACCAGCCTGAACATCTGGAAGTTCTCAGTTCACGTACTGCTGAAGCCTGGCTTGGAGAATTTTGAGCATTACCTTACTAGCGTGTGACTGAGTGCAATTGTGCGGTAGTTTAAGCATTCTTTGGGATTGCCTTTCTTAGGGATCGGAATGAAAACGGACCTTTTCCAGTCCTGTGGCCACTGCTGAGTTTTCCAAGTTTGCTGGCATATTGAGTGCAGCACTTTAACAGCATCATCTTTCAGGATTTGAAATAGCTCAATACCATAATATCTTCTTAGTATCTACTACATTTAGCTTGTAAGAATTCTAAATCTAGCAACCAAAATCCTCCATCCAACCTTTTCCTGGCTTAGGGAACAATGGCAACCTCAACATTATTTATACACACTTGTTTTCTCTTAATAGATATTCCTCCCTTCTATGCATCTTTTCTTTTAGAAGTATGGTCTGTTCTTCAAGATACACCTCAAACATCCCATCTTCTATCTGTAACAATAGCTAATGGTTGACATTATTTACTGCTTATTGTGTACCAGACACTATTCTAAGATCTATGTGTAAGTTACTAAATTTTATCCACATATGAGCATGATAATCACTATATTTCACCTTAATTTTAGTTATATATTGTACATCTGTTTTTTATTTTAATGCCCTAGGAGAGATCATCACATCACTTAACTTCCCCATAACATACTGTGAAAAGCAGGCATTTCTTTGTGAGGAAGCTGCATTTGCATTTGCCAAAATATCCTACAGTGGTGAGGCCATCAGAATTGACAACTATATTCTGAGAAATAAAGTGATCAATTTTATCAGAGCCACTATTCCCTAATTGCCTACCTTTCCTAAAGTAAATCTCAAAGGCAAAAAGATGAGTTTCTATCTTGTTCTTCACCAAGTTCTTCAATGGCGTTAAAAATTTAATAGCTTCTTCCAATGGAGTTTCAACCTAACAAAAATAAGAGATATTATACAAATGGAAGCAAGATTTGTCAGGGTGGGGATGTCAATTTTCTCTTTCTACTTATTAAAAATACTTTCTCAGTAAAAACCACTTACTAGTCATCCAGAAATACACTGCTATATTTTACCCTCCCACAACCTAAAGGAAGGGGATTCTAAACTCCTCATTCACTAAGATAATACATTATCTGTGGATAGAAACTATCCAACAAGTAAAGAAGAAGATAAAACAGAACCAGAACCAGGAAAAGAAAGACAGTAAGAGAAACAGGTAAGATAGCCAAGGGTGGGGGGGGGGGGGAGGGAGAACGGATGTGGAACAGCATGACAAGGGCTAAGAACTGTAGAGAATATTAAAGAATGAGTGAAAGTTGAGTACAATCAAGCTATTAAAAAATAGTGCAATATCCACCCTGTGTTGCTTTGTTCCACTTCAAATTCTACAGAAATCCATAATTATTCAAATGCCATACTACAGGTGTGGTGTCATTTGAAAAGTTGTATATTTATGGAATGCTGTCTCTATCACCCTTTGAGTACTGAGACAGGACTAGTCTCTGTAGACTGGGTCCGGGACAAGGCATGACACTATATTTGCACTCAGCACCTGGGTCCTTATACTTGCCCTCTCTCATCATTGAGGCAATAACAATGTACTCTCAGTGGAATTCAGATGTGCCATATCTGTCCAACATGACTCTGCCCATACAGTAATCTGTGGTTTCACAAATTTAGATTTAGGCCAAGGAAATTATTTAACAGCATTAAAAACAAAATCAAGTTAAACAGTAAGTGGTATCTATAGGATATACCCTGTACTAGTATGTAAAGTTGGAGAAGGCAATGGCACCCCACTCCAGTACTCTCGCCTGGAAAATCCCCTGGACGGAAGAGCCTGGTGGGCTGCAGTCCATGGGGTCATGAAGAGTTGGACACGACTGAGCGACTTCATTTTCACTTTTCACTTTCATGCACTGGAGAAGGAAATGGCAGCCCACTCCAGTGTTCTTGCCCGGAGAATCCCAGGGACGGGGGAGCCTGGTGGGCTGCTGTCTATGGGGTCGCACAGAGTCGGACACAACTGAAGTGATTTAGCAGCAGCAGCAGTATGTAAAGCACCTAGTCATTATTCAAGGATATAAGCTCTAAACCAGAAATCAGTATGTGGCAGTATCACTACTGTAACAGTCGCAGATATCAAGAATCAGAGGAGAAAATAGGGGCCCTCATAAGTACACCTTTCTCACACTGGTGAATATCCTGCTTCTTATTCCCATGACTTTGTTTTAAATTAATTTATTTTTTATTGAAGGATAATTGCTTTACAGAATTTTGCTGTTTTCTGTCAAATTTCAACAACTCTATGCTTTAATGAGTTAGAATTTGTGGTATACAGGGGAAAAATGGTTACCAGGGAAAGTAGAGAACTGGAAACTGAAATTACCACCCAGCTATAGCAAGCTTTTCATTACTTAAGAAGTACAGACTGAAGTGAAGGTCACTGCATTGACCAGGATAATTTAATGGAGAGAGACATGGCTGCTATCATTATAAAACAGAAACAAAAAAGGATATTGTAAAGTTGAATCATTACAAGCACTGGTGATGGTGATGAAAGTCGCTCAGTCATGTCCGACTCTTTGAGACCCCATGGACTATACAGTTCATAGAATTCTCCAGGCCAGAATACCAGAGGGGGTAGCCTTTCCCTTCTCCAGGGGATCTTTCAAACCCAGGGATCAAACCCAGGTCTCCCACATTGCAGGTGGATTTCTTACCAGCTGAGCCACAAGGGAAGCCCATTACAAGCACTACTGTGACTGAAATTGAGTATTTTAATTTAAAAAGAGAAAAGAGAGAAATTAATTCTGTCTGCAACTCTAGTAAATGAAAACATATGCCCTCAAAGGAGATGTGGGTTTCTCGTCCCCACATGCTTCTGTGGGCCTCTCAAAGGTAAGACTCTGTCAAGTTAAATCTAAATGATAAAATACTATGTACATAACCAAGACAAAGCTAACTTCATTCTACAGTTACATATATATAATGTAGTAGAGAGTGATATAAACAAAAGCATATAAATAGGGATGATGTTCTACAACCAGTGCTTTAAGATAAAACTACCCTTGAAAATCCCTGAAGTTAAGACACATAGATATAGCTATGAATATACAATATCACTAGTTTGAGTTGTATGTATGAAAACCATATATTTAAGTATCAAAACTGCAATCACTGTAGTAAGACAGTCACACTATGACAGGCATATAAGAACTGAGATGGCAGTCAAGCCTCTCACACCTCAAACTCAGGTGGGGTCCTAATGTTCACTGAGTAAGTACTGGGTGGAACTGCCAGCATTATGTATACTCTTTTCTGCCTCTCTCTCAAAATAAAATCACATCCAACCTTGAAGATCTGAATTTGTGTAACTTAAATAGATGTAGAAAAGAACGACACTGTGTTGATAGCACTTAATGCCATTTAAGACAATTATGAGGGCATTTTCTTCATATGCAATTTTTTAATTTATAAACTGACCTGAAATCTAATCCAAGTAAAATACGTGGTATAGGAGTTATCTCCTTAAATTCCCAACATAAAGTGTAAAATTAGTTTAAAATTCAAAGTCGCAGAACTGAACACTACAGAGGGACCTCTCTGGCAGTGCAGTTAGACTCTCCTTCCCAGGCGGGGGCACAGATTCAGTCCCCGCTCAGAGTTCAGATCTCACAGGCCTTGCAGCCAAAGCCCAAAACATAAACAGAAGCAATAATGTAACAAAGTCAATAAAGACTTTAAGAAATGGTCCACATAAAAAAAAAAAATCTTTAAAAATAACAACTAAAAACTACTGCCTCATGGTAAGTTGGATAAGCAAGCAATACATTACATCAAGCTTTCAGATTTACACTCAGTTAACTCAATATTAAGCTAATATACCTCCTATTTTCCTTCTCTCTTTCTTAACTAGAATAACTGCTAATTTAACAATGCTTTTATTTAAATTATCTTGATCTGGTGAACTAAATTTATCATTTACTACCTGGAAGAATAATGAAACATAAGATCACCAAAACAAAAAGAAACAAACAAAAAAACCAACCATAGATTACAGACCCAGAATTGGCAGGCAGCTTTTAAAACAGCCTGCGATGCCCCTCCCGATTATGACAGCTTGGTGTAAAATCTGGCCTTGCCACCACTTTGGGGTATGGGTGAGTGTGGATTCTATTAGATGCAGACATCTTGGATGCAGTCATCCTAGAAAGAGAAAGGTGTTATGTGCCTAACAGGTAAGAACAGTATACACTGAAGAGGAGTCCATGAAACTGGGTGCCTTCCACTAGGCTCCTTCCAAATAAAGGAGTCAAAAGTACTTTCTATAGTGCTTTTGCTGGAAGACTTTACAACCCTCTAGCTACAAATGACTAGACTATAACCTGACATCTGGGCCCAAAGCAGCTATCATAGGCTAAACAAAGAAAATGGAACAGTGTATAAGGAGACTAAGTGCAAGAAATCTGCTATCCAGGTACTCCTTATTAGACAGTAACTAAATACAAACAGATCCCCTCTTTAAACTATAAAGAAAGACATAAAGAGTTACAAGGAAAAAAGGTCATTAAGTCATGAGACAGAGAGAAAAATGTAAAGAATGATAGTGGCAGGCAGTCAGTGATGGTGGTAAAAGTGAGAGTTAAGAAATAAGCGGAGGCATAAAGATGGAAGGCCCCGTAAAGTTGGCATTATCCCTAAGAACTCTGCAGTTCTCCATGGGGCCTGAAAGGTCAGTTTTCTGTGCTTCTTCACATCCCTGTGTAGTCTTTCAATAAACTCCCAACAACAAAAAGGCAGTATCTTTGTTTCTAGAAAGCACAAAATTATTTGTCAATACAGCTTTGTGAAATCCAAGCTACATTTATCAATGGTTCTTAAACAGCAATACTGCTATGAGATATTACTGTCCATCTGCTAGGATATAATTCTAAAAGTATTTTTGAACTCTACTCGTTAGGTATTACAATTTTCCTTAGTTATAAAGCAACCAACGACCAAGGAATTTTTAGTTACTAATAAGGCTAAAACTCAACTCTAGGTTTACTGTTTACTATATTGCTTTAACATAGTAAAGCATGCAGTTACTCGAACATGGAGGAGGAGGGTGTCAAGGGTCAGAAGAAAACTGCATAGGTATGTTACTGATCAAAATGATTTACATGACAATGAATGCCTTGGTTTCAGTCTAACAGTTAAAAATGGCAGATAAGATTTTTGGCTTGGGGAAAATATTTGAGGACTTTAAAGATATCAGGTACAAATAGTAAAGTACAATATATTGTAAGTTGACAACACAAGTGAGAGAGACATACAGAACTCACTTTTTAAGAAGCTCAATTTAGACTATATAAAAACTTAAATGCTATCACTTTTAACAGACTATATTCTTTACACATACATTTTCCTGAGTCCTAACATCTTGTCTAGTAATGATTTTTCCTAGTCCCATTTTATAGTTAAGAAAACCATCACAGAAATTAGACAAAGTGTCTAAGATACACAGTGACATGTAAGAGCTAATTATGTGGTCCCAGATCAGAATGACTCAAAAGCCAAAACTTTCCAATATATCATACACAGTACTCAGAATCATTATTTCAAGTTTTAAATGTGACATACAATCAGAAAAGAGAGAAGATAGAAGAGAAAGAGGAAAGAGAGAGAGCAAAGAAGGAAAACTAAAAATAAATCTCTTACTCTAAAATCTATCAAATTGGCTGAAAAAGACTCTATAAAGACAATAGCTGGTCATGAAATTTCATTCAGTTGTGCTAAATACTACTTTTAAGTACCTTGGCCAGTTTCTCCGGAATAAGTTCTTCTTTTGGACCTCCAATTTCCTCATCATCATCATCCTTCTTCTTTTTCTGATTTCTCTGCTGCTTTTCTTTTTCTGCATTTTTTTTCTCTTCCTCTATCTGGGCTTTCTTTTGAGCTCTTCTTTGTTTATTACGTAGCTTCTTAAGCTCTTTATCAGACATGTTTGCTGTAAGCAGTGTTAATAAAACCATCAATGTGTTAATCAGATTTATAATGATCAATTACTACTATGTATTAATATTCCCAAACTCCATTAAAAATGTTTCATATTACACATGTTCATGTGCCTTTAATAAGGCTGCATTTGTTAAAGAATATAAACATCTTAAAAAAATTTGTGAAACCAAGAGGAGACCTATTGTGAAAACCACAGCAAAGCAGACAAGCATGAGCTCTTCCAGCAAAATTAAACGTCTTGCAGTTCTAAGAATGTAACAAGCAGTTTCAAACCCCTATGGCACTGTATTATGCTTTAGTTATGCCTTCTCTAATCCTGTCAAACAGTGCTGCCACCATGCCTTACATATTCTGCTTGTCATAATACTTTGTCTACACATCTGTTTCTCTTTTAGACTGTGAGTTCCTTGGTGGAAGAGACTTTTGTTTTACTCAAAATCTTCGTGCTGTCAAGGCCTAGCAGCATACCAAAACACACAGAAAACACTCAAATATTTGTTGAAGGAAGAATGAATAACTGTATAGTAAATTTAAAATGTGACATTAAAAATTAACAATTATTCTTTGAGGTACAAGCCACAGAATGTCTTAAATAAAGACTAGAAATCTCTGATAAACATGCTACAATACAGTGGGAAAATTGCATTGTGTAGACTTAAAGCAATAAATCTGAAAGCCACATGTTCAATAGGTATTTGAAAAACACTTTGTTAATAATGAGAAATGAAAAGAGTTATTCTAAAATATTCTACCACTGTGGTGATTTTTAAATATGTTCACAAATTCTTCAAAAAGTAAAGCCTATTTCCCCTTCCCTTGAATGTGAACTATACTTAGTGACTAGATTCTAAGTAATAGAATGTACTAGAAGTGAATATGCATGACATCCAAGATTAGGAAATACAAGCACTGTGAATTCCTCTTTGCTTTCTCTTGGATCACTCAGAGGAAGCCAGCTGTCATGCTCTGAAGAAACCCAAACCACCTCATGCAAATACCCATGTGGCCAAGTACAGGACTCTGGCCATGAGTAAGCCATCCTGGAAGTAAATTCTCCAACCCAGGCCAATCCTTTGATGCCTTGGCTGCTATCTTGACATCAAGAAGAGAAAGATGGGTAACAGAAACCTGTGTACCGATATCAGTACAACATAGTTTTCAGTATGACTTTATAATAAGCTTTGGGCTTCCCTGGTGGCTCAGGAGTAAAGAGTCCACCTGCCAAAGCAGGAGATGTAGGTTCAATTCCTGGGATGGGAAGATGCCCCTAGAGAAGAAAATGGCAACCCACTCCAGTATTCTTGCCTTGAAAATCCCATGGACAGAGGAGCTGGGCAGGCTACAGTGCATGGGGTTGCAAAGAGTCAGACACAACCAAGCAACTAAACAACAATAATAATAAATTTTAATATATGTGAGAACAAGACACCATGCCCACAACCCACCACAATATTTTTTCAGAGCTCAGATCATGATTAAAGTGACATATTAAACATATGGATGACCTATTCAAATAAGTACTATTTCGAAGACAGCAGTGTTTTATTTGGGGATAAAAAAGCCACCCTTCACTTCCCATCACATATAAAAATTATCTCCAGATAATCATACAGCCAAATGTAAAAATAACAAAGCAAACATTACGAGAAAACAAAGAAGATATTTATAAATATGTTATACATTTTGAAGGAGAAAAGCCAAGACCCAGAAGCCACAAAAGACTAAAATAGTTTTGCCTTAGGAAAATTAAAACTTTTACATAATGAAAGATACCCATCATAAAGAAAGCTAAGACCTAAGCAATAGGAAGAAAACATCTGCAACACATAAATAAGGATTAAGGTCCTGAACACATACAGATCTCCTACAAACCAAGAAGTTTCAAAATAAAATAGGTCAACAATATGAACAGGCAATTCATGTAAGAAACCCCAAAGCAGGACTTCCCTGATGGTCCAGTGATTAAGAATCTGCCTTGCAATGCGAGGGACTCGGGATACAGGGAACTAAGACCCCACAACCTCAGAGCAACCAAGCCTGCAAGACCCAAGTACCGAGCTCTGCGTCACAGCCCTGAGGACCCACACTGCAGCGGAGACCCTGTGCTACCATGGGGGCCCAAGGCAGCCAGGCGGATAAACGATTATAGACTAGATGTTTCCCCGAGGTAGCAAGAGTGTGAAGGGCGAACAAGTTTCAATGTGGGCGATAAAATAAAAGACAATCTCAATACACTGTTGGTGGCAACAAAAACTTTTATGGAAGGCTATGCAATTCTCATAATCTTTGACCTAGTTAATTTCCTCTTCTAACAATCCCTGCTAAATAAATATGTGCACAATGATGCCTTATAGGACATTTACTTTAGCACTGTAATGGGGACAAGGGAACCCTCATTCCCATTAACAAAATTTAAAATGTTGTAATTTTAAATAAAATAAAATGTAATTTTAGAACATTGGGAATGATATCATCCCATTTATGGGTTAAAAAAATAAAACGAACAAAACCACAAAAACCACCCTGTAACTGTGTAGAACATATGTACATGTGAAACTGAACATGGTAATTGTGCACAAAAGAAACTGAACACCTAATAGGGCTAGCTAGCCCTTTGAAAGGAGAAAACCTTCAGGTAGGAGAAAAGTGAAGAGGGAGTTTCACATTTGCTAGGTGTTTTTCTGAGTTGGTTTAACTTTGTATATTCCAGAGTTAATTGTGTATTGGGACTTCCCTGGTGGTCCAGTGGTTAGTACTACACACTACCACTGCAGCGGGTATGGGTTCAATCCCTGGTTCTGGAACTAAGATCTTGCATGCCACGTGCGTGGCAAAAAAAAAAAGTTAATTGTATATTATTTGCAGAATTCGAAGAAGATGTGGAAGGCAGGAAGAGTAAATAGGAAAGTAAATAAGCGAAGCCAGAGGATCACTGATATCATCTTCAATTATAAAGTGTCCTATAGATTCTCACTAGCATTTTCTTTCCAGCTGAAGCAGTAACAACAGAGATTTAAGTGAAATTTGTGCAAGGGTTTCAATATGTGACCTTAGAATCTTCTAAATTGTTCTTAGGTATTGTAAAATAACAAATTAATAAAAGGATCCAAAGGTCTTAGCAGGAGGAAGAATATAGAAAGTAACCAACCATAACCCCAGAAGAGGAAGAAACTCAGGACTGAGGAAAAAAATTCTGACAGCTTTTATGCCCCAACTCCTGTAACATTTTTGCCCTGAATAAAGACACAAAATTTTTAGACAATTAATTTTTTATCTTTTTACATGCATAGGTCACTTTTATTCTGAGATCCTTTCCCAAATAATTAATTTAAGGAAGACTTCTTCCTACACATCCTGACATCTTGCTATTAAAATGGCATGTTAAAAATGGTCAAGTGAAAAATCACTGAGCAATGTTACTGGCTTAGTTTTAATTCTAACCTGGGTATTAACGTTCAAGCAATATTTATCTTTTAGTATGTCATGGCTTGTGCTCAGTCGTGCCTCACTGTATTTGCGATCCCACGAACTGTAGCCCACCAAGCTCCTCTGTCTATGGGATTTTCCCAGCAAGAATACTGGAATAGGTTGCCATTTCCTCCTCCAGGGGATCTTCTCAACCCAGGGATCAAACCCACATCTCCTGCATTGGCAGGCAGATTCTTTACCATGGAGCCACCATATTAAGTTAAAGTTGATGAAATCCAGCTCCTTAAAAGCTAATGACCTATGGCTGATTCATGTTGATATTTGGCCAATAACAACAAAATTCTGTAAAGCAATTATCCTTCCATTAAAAAATTAATTAATTAATATTAAAAAAAGGTAATGATCAGCTACAAATTTTTGCTTAGCTTTTAAAGACAACAGTCAATAGTATTTTTCTTTTGTTGCTCAGAGAAATTCACAAAACAGCCATCACCATTTTCTAAAGCATGGATAACAACTGTCCCACAACGCGCAAACAGAAAGCTCGGGGAAGAGGCTTCCCTGGTGGCTCAGGGGTAAAGACTCTGCCTGCCCATGCAGGAGACACAGGTTCCATCCCTGAGCTGAGGTGACTCCACATGCCGGGAAGCGGCCAGACCCACGTGCCACATTACTGGGTTTGTGCTCCACAGCCCACATGCCCTAACTCCTGAAGCCTGCGAGCCCCAGAGCCCTGCTCCACAAGAGAAGCCACCCCAACAAGAAGCCCGTGCAAAGCAACTAGAGAGAGTGGCCCCTCCTCTTCATAACTAGAGAAAAGCCCTTGCAGCAATGAAGACCCAGCACAGCTAAAAATTAAATTATTTTTTTTAAATCATCTTTCAGAAAAAAATAAAAAGCTCAGGAAAAATCTGTTATGCAAAAACATAAATATATATACACACCACAAAAAAAAAATAACTCTTTGAATATTATACCTGTATCAGCTTCATGTTCTTTATTCTCATCTGTAAGAGGGCTGTCATGAAGCTTCAAATAGATCTCTATAGCAATTCTTGCAGCCTTGAAGTAAAACGGATGCTGTCGAAGTACATCTTCTAGCTTTAGTAAGTCCACATATGATCTAAGGGTAATCTTCCTCATACAGTATGTATGAAAGTCAAACTGGTCATCAGTGATTTCTATAAAATGCTAACAAAATTATCTTTTTTACTATAGTGAAGTATAGCGACAGCAAAGAAGCTACAAAAATGAAAGCCTTGGAATTACTTGTTTCCAGGGCATGAAAATAAAAATCAGTAAAATTCTAAAATATTAAAAGTTACAATAATTCTATTTAAGTACTTTACATGTCAATTAAGTAAATACAATAGGCCATTACCTAGCATAGTTTGTGGCATACATTAGTGACTGAATTATTTGTTGAATGAAAGGAAACACAATGCTTTATTTTTTTCTAATTATTTTGTTTATTTGATGAATTCACATTTTAGAATATCAATAAATATCTTTTTTTCACAATGATGCTTTAAAATATATTTATTCCTTCCTTAATCATTTAAATAAAGCTACCATCATAAATCCAACAGAATTTATTAGCATACATAATGGTGTAGTGCAATACAGTAGATTTACATGTTAAACATCCAGCTTTTATATTTAGAACAATCTGCAAAGGATTTTAATATGTAGTATTTGTCAATTTTTCTGAGAATACAAATCTGAAATGTTGGTATGTGGGAGAGAAATAGTCAGGAAGTCAGTCAAGCAACCAGAAATTAACACATTTCAACTAACCTCCAGGATTCTCAACTTATAGTAACAAAATAAGCATGAATTTATATAAATTATATATTAAAAAACATTTTAAAAACTGAAAGCCAACTACTAGTCATAGAAATGACTAAAAAGTGAAAGGACTAAGAAAAAAAATAAATTTATCAGAAAATGAGAAATTATATAGGTTACAGAAGTACTGTGAAAAGGCTTCAAAGCTTGCATCTAATATTTATCAAGGGCATATGGCACCACCAATCAAACTCACAACCAAGACATTTCTGGCATAGCTTAATGAGCTTTATATGTATTAATGAAAAAGCAGCATCAATTTGAAAGAAACATCCAAAAATCAATGAAAACACAGTCAGGATACAAACTTTCCATTAAGTTTTTTACATGAATTCTGACACTAAGAGTAGACAATGGAGAAGTCTGCTGAATATGTAATCTATATTATTTTTATTATAAACTCTGAAAAATGTGAATAGTGATTTTCAGCGATCATTTGTTATGCATTAGGAAGTGAGAGGAAAGAAAAAACTAAGCGGATTTCTGTCAATGGGTAACAGAATAAAATGAGAAACTTTTAGGTATGTGTTACTTACTCTCTCAATCTCATGGCATTTCTTAAGTGCTTCACCAAATTTATTCATTGCCTTATAAGCTTGGGCACATTCTGTCTGGAACCACATGCACTGCATTTCATTTAAGTTCTCGACCGCTGATGTTCCTTCCTATATGAAAAGCAGACATACTCAAAGACAATTTCTTACCAAATACGTTATTACACCATAGGATTTAATTGATTTGAATTTTCAGAACAATTTTCTATTTTTTAAAACCATTCTCAGAGTAAGAGGGAACAGTTAATATGTGAAAGAAATTAGAATTATATTTCTAAACACTAAAAAACCCTCATAAATGATTAATCAAAAAGATCTACCTAATTTGGGATAGAAAGTAATATAACAAAGAGAACAGCAGCACATACTCAATTAATGTGAGTATATTCACCCCTAAAAATTTCAACTGAACATACCTCAGTATAAATCAGAGTTTAAAAACCTACTGTACAAACATTTGAAAAATGGTGTGTGTGTGTGTGCTCAGTCATCTCCACCTCTTTTGTAACACCATGGACTGTAGTCCACCAATTCCTCTGTCCACAGCATTTTCCAGGCAAGGATAACTGGAGTGGGTTGCTACTACCTACTCCAGGGGATCTTCCCAACCCAGGGATCAGAGCCTGGTCTCTTCCATTTTCTGCATTGGCAGGCACATTCTTTACCACTAGTGCCACCTGAGAAATGATGTTTTATAGTAATACTGATTTCAATTTTTTTTGATAAGGCAATTTAATTAAAATCTTGTCTTGATATTAAAAATATCAGAAGTAAACTTTGAAAAATAAACAAGTTATACACGTATGAACTATTTATTCATAAACAAACAAACAAACTAGCTATACAAACCCTTGTAAACTTGGAGCACATTTCTTCAGCCTCTTTTATCAAATTGGCTTTTAGCATGTATTTTGCACACTTGGAGTTGATAAATCTGTCTGCTGTGTCCAAGGCCTGGGCCTCATCCATCCACCTTGCAGCTTCTTTAATATTCCCAGCATGCTAAAGTTAGAGGGCACAAAAACAAAATAAACCTGTCAGTATGCTAATATTACTATGCAGGTAATTTCTTTCCTGTTCATAAATAACTAAGACACAAATGCTTCCAAAGGTAATCTTCTATCTCTTACAACCATAATCAATGTAGATGCATACAATCTACTGTAAGTTCTGATACCTTTCTGGCTATGTAGACTATGAGCTCTCTGACAGTAAAGATATGTTGTAAAATTTTGTCTACTGTTATAACCTCATTGGCAATGCACTACACAGTGCCTGGCATATAATGAATACTGAAAAATAATGGTGAATACTGAAAATTAATGGCTGAATCAAAGAAAATAATCAAAACCTTTAAGTGAGAACAACATAATTCAATATAAAGGTCATAACAGGCAAAAGGATGGCCAAATTTCTATTCTAAGGAATCGTGGAAACATTACAATTAGGACCACTTGTGGACATTCCACAATGATCCTCATTCTTAATTCATCTAACTAGTCCATTTGGCAAAGCCACAAAACTAATGAGCATTACCTAGCATTTTAAAAGTGGTTTAAAACATTACTTAATTTCATCATTTTTTGGTAAATAAATGATTGGTTTAGAACTTCTTCCCCAAGAGCTTCTATTAGTAAATTTCATTTGTATTAAAATTTTTAAAATGATACTGGAACATATGACTAGAGATTCTCAAGCAAGACACAGGAATTGAAGAGTCAGAGATAACATGTAGAATTCACAGTAGAAATCTCCAGTTTCATTTTATTAAGATTACCAGATACTGATACACGATCATATTCAGATGTTAAGAGAAACAAACATTTGACAGCAAATTTAATTACTTTTGATTATCTATCTCTGCTAGTTAAAATTAAAATAACCAGATATGTATGTGTGAATGCATGAGAACATATATTATGAACAACACATATATGAATAACCATATGTATATTTGTATATATGTGTTGGTATATACATACAGATACAAATAATTGAGCAAATCAGCATGACCATGAAAAGTCTAAAAAGCAATCAGACTGAGAAAAATACTATATTTGTTATTCCATGTGTTCTGAGCTATCCAATACATCATTTGTCTTAGAGCATTTACAATGTAACATATGTTCTTAAAAATTTATGCCTCATTACCTCATAAGAAAAAAAGCAGAAAATATTTTTACCTTATAGATTTTAGCTTTCACAAGAAAGAGTTCTATCAACGTGGGTGTACTTTCAATAGCAGTATTTATGTATTCCAGAGCAATAGACGGCTGACCAATTTTATCATAATGTTGTGCCAAGTAGTACTGGACCCAAAGTAATGTGGTTGGTGGTTCCTCTTTTCCATCATCTTTAAAGAGTGGGGGAGGAGGTGGAGAAGAATTAGTCATTATCTATATTAAAGAGACTAGCCACCTCAAAGTGGCTTTATCTTTATTAATAAGGAAAGTAGGTCAAATCGTGTTATTTATGCATCTAGTTATGAAACTAGCTCTAAATGTATAAGATCTGTGACCAGCACCACACTACCTGCTCTGTATCATTATAGCTCCTAGCACAATGCCATGCTTATCATAAACATGGTAGATAAATGAGATCAAAGCTTTAACAAATTACCTAAAAAGAAAACTGGGGGGTGGGGGATAGAGAAAACAAATTGCACTAGAACTATGGTCAGGATGTTATGTATGAGGGGGAAAAATAAGAATAAAGAGAAAATTTCCATTAATGTAGGGTTAAAAAAAAAAGAAAAAGAAAAAAAGAAAGGCATGATTGCTTAACTGGGTTTCTAATGTACCAAACTACACATAAATATACTTGTGATGTGGTTATTTTGAATTTTGCTGATAAGATTCTTAATATATCTTAATCTTATTTTGAATATGCAAAAATGTACACTTTGGGTTAAACTAAAAATTATACAAAAAATGAGATAAGTAAAAATACTTATTCTGTATTTTAGTTCAGTTTTATTTTTATATACTCACAAGAAAATGTGTAAGTTAAATATACAACCCACACATTAAAAAATGCTTTTTAATACAAATTTCTAAAATCTAAAGAACTGTTATTTGCTTTCAAAGAAAGCAACAGATTGCTTATTTTTATCCTAGTAGAAGTAGGATGGCTCAGTGGACAAACAATAGGAGTGGAACTCACCAACTCCCGATCTGATAGATCTGCAACTAAAGTGCTGCATATTCTTGGGCATGTCATTGAACCTCTTCCACATTTGTAAAATATGTAGGAAAATGCTGATAATCAAAGGAACATCATGATGATTAACCAATGAAACCATGGTAACGCCTTCTAAAAAGTACTATTAAAATTAATCTGAGACCTAGAAACAGTGATCAACTCAATAGCAATAAGCACCCCAGGTCCCATACTGGGTTTTCCCACTGTAGGAAACAGGGCTCCTTGGGAAAAACAACTTATTACAGGTCTGTTATGGGCAAGTATACAAGATGAACTAGAATATTTCTTTATACAAAACTACAAGGAAGCTATCAACTACTACCCTAGTACGTGAAGGCTGGAACCATTTGAAACTGCAATGATTTAAAACATCAAATATGTTTAAAGCCATGAATTCAAAATAATACTTTTCTAACACCTTTGAAAGATGCTACTAATAGTCAATTCACTATTTTGAAATTCATTAGTTCAAACTGGTAAAGAACAAAAAAGTAGGACAGGCAAAGGAGAAAAAGCAGCATTTATCTCGCTTTTTCTGTATAACCTGAAATGCTACATTAGCAGGTATTAAATATTATAATATTACTAGTTTGTAATTTGTAACAGTTCATGTAACACATTTAATAAACACTTCATGCCTCCTGATCAAAGGACGCACCACCACTTGTGGAATAATCTTGCTCATCTCTTTGTCTTTAAACAAAATTCCATCAAACCTGTAGACAGTCAGACCTGTCCATGTGAAGTTTCTGCAATGATGGAAAGGTTCTAGATCTGCCCTGTCCAGTATGGTAGGCATTAGATTTACAAAGCTATTGAGGAGCACTTGAACGTGACTACTGTGACTAATTAAATTCATTTAATTAAAAAAAATTTAACAGCCCCGTGTGACTAATGGCTACCATACTAGACTACATAGCTCTAAACTTACAATGTATAATAAATCCAGAGGACAGAGAAACAACTTGTTAAGCAACAGCATATGGGTATATTCAGCAAAAACTAGACTAAAGAAAAACTAAAAACACACACACACACGAAACTAATTAATAAATAAATTGCAGGAAAAAATAAAAACAGAGGGGAAACTTAAAAAAAGTTAAAGAGACATATTAACAAAACTCAAAGTACAGATTTCATCTGGCTCTTCATTCAAATAAACTTCAGAAACAAAGAGAAAAAATATTTTTAAGGTACCTGGAAATGTAAGCATTGACATTTTCCTTTGATATTAAGGAAGCATTAATGTTCAAGTATGGTGATGCTATTATGGTTGTGATCTTTAGAATACTGAAATCTACATGGATGAAATGATGCGATTTTGGGGATTTGTTTTCTAATAACAAGGGAGTAGAAGGAAACAGGTAAGAAAATATAGATGAAATAAGTCTGCCATGAGGAAAAAATTACTGAAGTTGAGTGGTGGGTAAATGGAGGGTCATTATATTATTACATGTAGTTTTGGAGATGTTTTAAGTTCTACATAAAATTTTCAATAAGCTACTGTTATCACATTCTTATCAAATATTTTCACATAATATACATATTAATGCATCTTAAAGGGAAAAATGTTTAAATATACTAAGCTTATTGACTAAATAATGAACAATACTGACCTTCTGATCAAGAATTTCGTAATATAGTAAGATTTTTAAGACTTTTTTAAAACATAAAACTTGAGCACTTACCATTGGGGTTAAATAACCGGCAGCTTTTTAGAGAGGTTTCATAACCTACTACTAATTCTTCTATGATTGCCACCTACAGTACAAACACACAAGCACACTTTAGTAAAAAAAAAAAAAAAGAAAGAAAAATTATTATATAGTTACTATGCTTGTGCAAAGCATGTTATTTACTATTAGAGGGCTAAATAAATATTCCAATTTCCTCTCTCTTCTGATTCCACCCCTGGTCTCTCACATACACACCTTTTTATAAATCTCTTAACCTATGGATAAAAATTTAAGACTATACACTTTTGAAGGTGTGCTTTAAGGCAAAACTTTTTAAAAAAACTTACTGACAACTTTTCCTGCCATAAAATAAACCATCAAGCTGAACTAGAAATCAGGAACAGGCTAGACAAAAAGAGGTAATGTTATGGATTTTTTTTAATCTTGGTTCATTTTTATCTTAATTTACATAAATAATACCCACAGTTAATATCTGCACTTCAGGAATCAAGAATTAAATACTGTGTGAAAAGAGAAATTCCACCAGTAGATGACAGCATCAACTCTCAATTTCATCATTCAGGGAAACCATCAGGAAAACTGAGGCATGGGATAGCAGGTGGGTTTCTGAGATCTAGGAGAATGAGTGGCTGGCCCAATTCTGATTTATCTTGAGTCATGACTATACTACTGACTCATGTCTTTGTAAGAGATCTGTGAATACTTTTAATTTATAATTCCCTTCTTTGCTTAATCAATCTATAATGAATTTATTACTATAGAAGCTCTCTTAAATAACCTCAACTTAACTGACTCAACACATTAACACCAGCTCTCTCCATTATCTCAGAAAACTGCGGTCACAGCTAGGCTATTCTGAAATACCCAGGTTCTTCTGCTCCCATAAGGTGAGCTACATGCTTATGGAGAGTTTTGTTTTCCCAAGCCTGTTTGAATTAGTTGCATTCATTATCATCATTGCAAAATTTAATTCAATATTACATAAACTTAAGAAATGAGGACAAAACAACTGTTTCTATAGGTTGAATGAATACTGTGGGAAGACTCAAAGATAAATTAGGTTGTTTTCTTTTTACCAATCTAGTTAAACGTTTAAATAAGACAACCACAGAGGGAAAAGTCTTAATAATATACATGATTCTACAATCAAGACTGCTTCACAAGCATCACGTTCTCACTCTGCCAAAACTAGAAGAAAAAGACCACATTTTATTAATGTGATTTAAGCAAGGAAAAAAAAAGTGAAACAGTCACCACTGAGGCCCATATCCTAGACCTCTCAACCAAAGACTGGCAAGTAAGTGCCCTTCCTGTGTGCTGGCTTCCCTGGGGGCTCAGCTGGGTAAAGAATCCGCCTGCAGTGCGGGAGACCTGGGTTCGATCCCTGGGTTGAGAAGATCCCCTGGAGAAGGGAAAGGCTACCCACTCCAGTATTCTGGCCTGGAGAATTCCATGGACTGTATAATCCATGGGGTGGCAGAGTCGGACACCAATTAGCAACTGACTTTCACTTACAGACTTAGACTGTGCTTTAACTGTTCAGTATGTTTAATCTGTTCCATCTTTGAAGTGTGGTTTTTTTTTTTTAATCTAGCCAACATGTCTTGATATCACTGAACTTAAAATAATCTACATTAACAAGCATTTTGAATACTGTATACATAGCTGAAAGAGTAAACTGACTTACTGGGACATTAAACAAACTCTTCTGACAGAATTTTTTTTCTACCAACTAAAAAGGATAAAGAATACTAAGGTAAAACTTAGTTTAGTTTAAAAACAAAAAAATCACTTCTGGATTTCACCATAAGGAGGGAATAGAGACAATATTGAAGAAATCACTGCTGTACCAACTTTTCATACCTGCACTGATTTATTAAAAAGTACACACCAGAAAAAAAAGATAGAAAACAAATAGGTGGTAAATTATTCAGCTAAAAAGAGAAGACGATGAAAAGGAAATAAACAGAAAGCATTTAAACTTTAAGGGCTAGGAAGACTGTTAGCAGACTCACAAAGTGTGTACTATGTGCCTGTACTATGTGCGATTATCCAAACACTGAGCAAAGAAATCATAGTCAAAAAAAAAAAACAACCACTGTATTTTGCTTTACCTTTTCTTTATCTTTGTATAACGACCTCAAAGTATTGAAGACTGGTGGACAACCCTTACTGAAGTTCATCCTTAGGAACTTATCCAAACATTCTTTAAACTTCTCACCTTGGAAGAAAAAAATCTTGTTGACTTACATTTACCCAGATAATTCTAACACGGCATACCTTAAAATCTTAATATGCACACTCATATATTTAAAACCAAGGGCAGATATTGTATACCATAATATCATTTTCATTCCTTTGCAATTATTCTCACTTACCAGATAAAAAGTTTAATGGCAGTCTTCTTGGCACTAATCCCCTGGGATATTTAGTCCAGGCCTCCTCATAAATTTTTAGTCGTTCTAACATATTAGCTGCAGACCAAAAAAAAATTTTCCCTTATGTAATTGTACATTTTGCTAGAAAATTATAAATTCGTGAAAATATATGAAAATTACCATAGTAAATAGAAAATTTGAACATGGGAAAAAATTATTCATAATCTAACCACCTAAATATATCAACAATCATTTTAGAATAATTCCTTCTAAAATTTCCATATTTTAAACCATCATTACATAAAATACATGATTTTCCTTATCCGGTTCTGCTTTAGGCGGCCTTTCAAAGTATGACTCCTCTACTTAGTTCTAAGAAAGGCTCGGTTATTATGTTTCCATAATGGCTTTTCTAATGTTCTCTTCAGCCTCTTCTCTAACGTCTCTCCTTTGATTTCTTTTGGAACTTTGATTTATTATCTATCCTCTATCTTGATTTTTTCATATTTCTTTTATATTTTCTCTTACTTTCAGGTGAGAACTTTCCTTGTTCAATCAATCTTCCACTTCACTAATTTTCCTCAGGTATGGCCTCTCATATTTAATCTATTGAAAATTTTATGTCACATCAGTAAGTAGGTTTTGTCATTTCCCAGATTCCTATTAGGTCCTTTCTCATAACTGTTCACATTTCATCGCCTCTCTTCATCTTGGATTCTTCTGTGCTCTCTACTCTCCCTTTCGCTGGCACCAATATTTCCATGCTAGTGTTACTACAGAGAATGACATTCTTTGTTACAAAGTTTCTCTCACATTTATCAATGTACCAGGAATAGTTCACTATCAGTTGTGTAGGAAATTTTGCTTTAAATTGTATCATCCTGGATAAGGACTCTCTGCCTTTTTGCAGATAGCATGTTTGGAGGACTTATCCTCACAAGTGGGTCCCATTCATGTGAAAGAATGGTTGGGGGGAAGAGTCTCTGGACGAAGTTTATTTGTGTCCTTCTTCTCACATAGGAAAGAAACAGTGCTTCCCTTTCAGTTTGGTGACATTCACTTGCCCTGGCAGGTCACACTCTGCTACAGCCACAGGTTACCACAGAGGTATGTGTCCTTCTTTCCTTTAGGGAAACAGCTCCATTTCTATAAGTTAGCATTTTCCTTTCATATTTCTGACACTACTATTCATTTGTGAACTTTTAAAACTTTTTTCCAAAACTCTTTTTACAACTATTTCCATGAATTTGTAGTAGAAGAGAGGTTTTAGAAAACACCTCGCCTGCCATATTAAATGGAAGTTCACAAATGTACTTTTGTATTCAGATTTTGAACCAATTCTTAACCAGTTTTTCTAGTCGGCATTTTCAATGAATTAATACAATGTATGTTAACAAAAGATGCAATTAAAGCTTAGAAAGTAAGTTTTAATCAGAGTTACCTGGCTTGAGTGCCTTTTCCAAGCCTTTGTAATAGGCCCAGTTTTCAGGATTTCTCTCTTGCAATCCTCTGTAAACATCAGCTGCATCTTCCAAACGACATAATTGTAACAGAAGTTCCCCTGATTTAAAAAAAAAAAAAAATTGAATTAACTAAGTATGTTTAACTTTTCCTCAAACTTTCTCTTAAAACCTCTTCAATATTGGGAGGTGGGTTTTCAACTCCCTTCAATGAGACTATTTACAACATTACAGTATTGTCTCTCCTGTTTTTAAAAGTTCATATGTAGAAATGTTATCCTCTTCACATCCTCACTTTATTCAGGTATATGTCTAACTCCAGGCTACTTTCTCAAATTCACTGAACACAGTCACTAAGCCATCATCTACTCAATTATTCCTGACAACATATAGACAATTTCAAAATCTAAATTAATGCCCAGTCCATTACCCTAACCTTAACTAGCTATGAAATGATTCTGCTCTAGCAGCCCAAATCACGGCCACATTGTGTCTCTTCCAACTACTGAGTTTACTCTCTTTTTCATCTACCAAATACATTTCCTGCTTTAAGCTTAACTGTCTTGACTTTCTTCCTGTCTCACCAATCCTACCCTTCAATCTTAAGAGAAAAACTGTTCCTGTTTCTTCAGGCCTTTCAGAAACCTTTAAGACGACACTGCTTGTCTTCCCTGGGCTGTATGACCAGTGTCATCCCTAAATGACATTAGCAGCCCCAAATATGATAACTAATCTAAAAACCTAGGCTCCCTGGTTTACCAGTTTTAAGGTCTGTATGATCCCAATTATTCACTTGCTGAACACCTTCTCATAAAAGAAGCTGCCAAATGAAGGCACTGGGGCACTGGTTTCACTAGAAACATATTAGCTCCAAACTCACATAAGCCTCAAGCACTGCTCAAGAATCCTTTTTCCTACCTTAATGGCCTCCCATTCACCAAAGGTATTATTTTCAAGCCAAGACTGCACTCTTGCACCTTTTTTTATTATCAGATAATAAAAATGAACACTTACTGAGTGTGAAAATGACTTTTCAAACGTTTCTCAAGCATTAACTAATTCAAGTCTCAAAGCTCCATGAGATAGGCTACCATTATTTGTGTCATTTTAAAACAAAGAAAATAAGTAAATGTGTCAAGGGTCTTTCAGACAGTTAATTGTTACAGAGTCAGGATTTGGACCCAAGCAATTTGGCTAAAGTAACCCATATTCTTTTTTTTTTTTTTTTAAATTTATTTATTTATTTATTTTTTATCACAACCATAGTGTATCTAAAGTAACCCATATTCTTAATGTCTCTATCCTGAGTGGTTCTCACAGGTGCATTTTTGTCATCCAGGAGACATTTAGCAATGCCGGAGGCATTTTCAGTGTCACAGTAAGGGAAGCGGGTGCTACGGTATCTGATATAAGCTACCGATACTGCTAAATATTATGCAACATACAGGAGACTTCAATCTCCAACATCTTGGTCCCAAAATGTCAACAATACCAAAGTTAACAGTCTGCTCTACAATGACCAAAAAACTACTTTACTAAAAACAAAATAATATCCTGCAACCTTTCTCCCATAGGCCACACCATCCATATTTCCTTCTCATAATCTTTACCCACCTTTTCCTTGTAGAGGGAACTGACGGTATAACAATTCACAATGAAATTTTCTGCCTAACTATGCCACTCACCCACTCCAAGAAATTCCTAAATTATCCTGACCACCTATCACTAACATCAAGGCCTTTATTACTGGAATGCCCAATGATTGATGATTCTACTTTTAGTTCCCTTCTCCTCTCTTTATATTCCCTGTCCCCACCACCTGACTCACCATAGATATTCAAAACATATTTTGTGGAATGAACTAATAGCTCTGTTTCCTATTTCACTGGGAAAATGAAAGCAAGAAGAACTCCCAAATTATCCACCACACTGACACACCTACTTGCCCATACACTCCACCATCTCTAATTACTGTGGATGAACTATTCATTTTGTTACCTAAGGCTCACCCTTCAATTTATCCACTAGATCACATCCCCTCTACTGTATCAAATATTCCATCTCATTATCCGGTGAGCACAATAAATACGATCTGCAAAAATCTTTTGATTCTGCAACCCTTCCCCCCAACACTACCCTGGATGTGCTTCCTATACAGCAAAACTACTTGTTTGAGTCATTTATGCATCCTATCCTCAATTCCTCTACTTAAATCTCATTGAAATCTACTTGACCTGTTTGGGGTTTTACTACCCTCCTTCCCAATGTTCAGAAAGTCCTTTTGGTAAGGTCATCAGTAACTTCCAAATTGCTAAAATCCATAGGTCAATTCTGAGTCCTCAGCTTGATCTGTCATTCTTCCTCACTAATAATCAGAAGAGTAAAATAAAACAATGTACTTAAGAGTATTTTGAACAACGTCATGTATTTCCATAAAGAAACTGAGGCCCAATCTTGCCCCTCATCACAGAGCTGGTTGGTAGACAATGAAGGAACTGAGACTAGTTTTTTAATCTTATCATCTTTTCAATTAGTCAGAAACCTCCTCCTTTATAACTAATAGACTGCTCAGGAATGATCAACTCATGTGAAAGAGGCTGTCTTGGATCTAGAGTTCACAAATGAGTTCCAGGTGCCTTGGACTTGCATTTTTTTTTCTTGCCAGTAGCATTATTCTCTGCTGAAAAGTTCATCAGGAGAACAATGGCTATATCCACTCTGCACACAGACACCACACTTCTCCAGTGTTCAACTTCAAAGGGAGTCAGAGAAATTTGAAACCAACAAACTTCAGCTTCCTGGTCTAACAAAGGCAAAGCAACATTTCAGATGGCAAGTCTTAGAAAGTACTCAATTACTTGTTTTTGTTTTCCATAATCAGTTCCTAAAACTGATTAAAAACTGATTTTAAAACTGTAGTTTTTAAAACTACAAAGACTCCTTTTTCACAGCCCTCTAATAAATGGTAACACTGGAGATCTTTATTTAAGAATCTACCCATCCTCCTATCATAATCCACACATACAAACCTGAGTTTCTAGTTCATGTTTTTTGTATTCAGAAAGATATTGAGGTAAACCATAAAGCCTAGGAATGTCCCATAAGCACTTTAGTGAAGTCTGATTTATCAATATATATTACTGACAATAAAGAAATTTGTTCTACACATTCAATTTTGCTAATAAGCAGTTTCTAAGAAACTTAATCCTGTCTTTTAAAATTGACCAACTGCCTCCTGTATTTTAATCAAACTGTAATATTTTTAGATCAGATACTTAAATAAACAATACTGCACTGAGTCACTTCATTCAACAATTTATTGTTAACCATTATTTTTTCCTATAACAACATCTACTGTTTAAATGTTTATTTTCCAAAAAAAAATGTTTATTTTCCTACATTACAAATTATCTGAAGTGCATGAGTAAGAAATAGATTTTGTCATCAAAGAGCTGTATTATATGCAATGATTTTTCAGTCTTGTTCTTTGTCATAGTTAAACATCAGAATAAATTACACTCTTAAACAAAAAAATACCTTTGGTTTCTTCTACAGCAAGTTTATCACAAATCTGCTTTTCATAGGTACAAAGATGTTCCAGAGCTTCTCTATAGAGACCTGCTTCCCGAAGAACTTGATTCTGATATAAAAGGAGTTCACTATATTCATAATCCACTTTATCAGGGGATGTCTACATATGAATACAAGGAATACTAACAGTGAGAATTTTATTTTCATATTAAAAAATTTTTCACACACTTAAATACATAGAAGAAGTCAAAGGATAATAAACGATTGATAAAACTCATTTTTAAAAATTCCTAAATATCTCTCTAGGAAGCAACTAAAACTGACATTAACTTAAAACCCACTGAATAAAATAAGAATCCATAAATCCTTACATATAATAAGTAAATAGGGCAGAAAGGAAAGCTTACTAAAAGTAGAATGTCAAATAAATCTAGAAGGAATAAGATAGAAAAATCACCATTTTGCAACTATCATAGGAACAGCTTATCCAGGCAAGAATCATAATCAATGAATTTTGCTAAAACTAGTGGTAAAAGTCTGATGAGGAAGAGACTACTCATAAAGCCTCACATTATTTATTAAATACAAAGAGAAAAAAAATAAATGGTTTATAGTGAAGAAACCTGACAGTCACCACCGTAAGCAAGAAATCAAACAGATGAGACAGCACACGGCTTCATGTGGTCAACTGAGAGGGGCTCAACACCACTCCTGCAGTCTCCTGCAAAAATGCCTAACAGCATCTAACACTGAGGAAACATCAAAGGAGTCCAAACTGATGAAGAGTCTACAGAAGCACTGCCACCACTCTTCAAAAACACAATGTCATGAAATAACAGAAAGACTTCGAAACTTCCAGATTAAACGAGACTATAGAAAAATGATAATTAAATGTAAGGTATGATTCTAAATTGAATCATGGAAATGAGAAAAAAAAAATCCTAGAAAGGATATAAATAGGCCAGTTAGTAAATATTGAATATCAGTTGTGGATTAGATAGTAACAGTCTATCAATGTTAAATTTCCTAATTTCTTGATAATTTATACAATACTATCTATAGAGTTGAGAACTATAGTTATTCTTAGGAAATACCACACAAAAGCATTTTAGGAGTAAAAGAGCATGGTGTCTACAATTACTCTTGAATGTTTCAGGAAAAAATAGCTAAGTACATATAGACTATAAACTAAATGTATCAAATATTAACAATTAGTTAATGTGAGTGAACTATTATGTTCTTCATACTACTCTCCCAACTGTTCTGTAAATTTGAAACTATTTCAAATAAAAAGATAGTAAATCTATATACACTTCTTTGTTTTAGTTATACTAAGAATCAGACCTAGTTTACTAGGTCTAACTTCTGGTCATTACCTGCTGTGTTTTCCTAAATTCTTCTAAAATCTTTGCTGCCATTTCATAATCTTCTAATAAATGGTAAGCAATAGCATAACCAATCCATGATGCTCTCTGTGCAGGTCGAAGTTGAAGTAACTGATACCTCGTTTCCTTTAAGGGAAAAAAGAACACTTTTTCTTAGGTTTACAAAAAAAGTAGATGCTCCTTAAAGATCATATTAACTTACAACAGTTAACGCAATGATGGAAATAATAATAAAAAAGTTTTAAACATCCATATTGTGTAGCTTTATGGAAGCATAAAAATATTTAAGCAGCACAATGATGCTTCCAAGATAATCTTAGAAATAATTTTTTTAAAAGTTAAGACATAAGACATGGTATCCTTTATTACTTACTCACCTACTTACTCTGGGAAGAAAGAAGGGAAAAGATAGTGCAAAAGTAAAAAATTTTTTAAATGCAGTGCCCAACTACTGAGTTAAGATCTATAGAAAGCAACTCAGTAGGAACTTCATGGAAGAAAAAAAAGAGGAACTAAATAAATCTGATTTAATAGACTGATTTTTAAGGGTTAAAATATAGCAATAGTGGTGATCATTTTGTAATGTATAAAAATATCAAAACACTATGTTGTGCACCAAGAACTAATATGGGCAGTGAAACTTCAAAAAAAAAAGCCAAATAACCAACTAACGAAACTCACAGAAAAGGAATTCAGATTTGTGGTTACCAGAGGTGGGAAGGAGGTAGGATGGGGTACTGCATGAAGGTAGTAAAAAGGTACACACATCCAATTCCAAGATAAAATTAACTTCGAGGGATGTAGTGTACAAAATGATTATGTAATTAACATTGCTGTAGGCTATATGTAAAAACTGCTATGAGAGTAAACCTTAGGAGTTCTCATCATCAGGAAAAAATATATATTTTTTCTTTTTGTATTATTTTATATCTATATAACATGATGCATGTTCACTAAACTTGTGGTAACATTTCATGATGTAAATCAAATCATTATGATGTACACCTGAAATGTATGCAATACTGCACATTAATTGTATTTCAGTAAAACTGAAAGGAAAAAAATCTCCCCTCACCAATGTAGCTACAAAAACAGAATGTTAGCCTCTATGGAGGTAAAAAGAACAAACGTGTGTGTGTGTGTGTGTGTGTGTGTGTGTGTGTGTGTGTGTGTGTGTGTGTGTGTGTGTGTGTGTGTGTGTGTGTGTGTGTGTGTGTGTGTGTGTGTGTGTGTGTGTGTTAATTTTTCACAAAATTAACTCAATCTTGTACAGTAATCCAACTCTGCTTCACAGTAAAGTAACTTTTAAATCTGCTTAGTCCAGTGACAAACACAACCACTATTGGAGGAAGGAGGCAAATTCAATTAATTTTTTTTAACGGAAAATTTTGTTATCAAAAAGTACTCAAAAAAGCTTTAAATACGTTAACAATATTTCCTCATCAGAATAAAAAAAATTCTCTACTTACCCTGTAACCCTCAAGATCTCGCATTTGAATCTGTAATAAAGAAAGGTCCCTTAAGATTTGAAGATTGTCTTTATCCCATTTTAGCGCATTTCTGTAACACTTAATGGCTTCATCATATTTCTTGTCTGACCTCTGGAGAAGGCCATAAACATGCCAACCTAAAGGATTTAGTTAAGGATACAACCTACAAGTCAAGAAATAATATTCCAATAATATTCTCCAAGAAACTCAGAAAGTTACAGCTGTTTATAAAATTACAAGCTTAAAAAAGAGAAAATATAAAGATAGTAGTAGTTTGATACAACAAAAACAATACAGCTTCTCAAGACAAAGAAAATAGGTCTAGCCTGCCTTACTTTAAGTTAATTTAATCTTACCATGTTTCCTTAATTATAAAATGTAAATAAAGAGAGAGTCCATACAGCAAAGCATAGCAGTTTGGTGACAAAACAGACTAACATGTATAAAGTGCTCAGTGGCTGACCCAAAATAAATGGCTCAATAGGTATTAAGAACTATCTATTTTTGAAAGAGAACAGGTATTCATGACATACATTAAAATTTCATAAGTCTAGTAACGAATACAAGTAAAATTACAGTAGGTCATACAACTGTACTACAAAGGGGGAAAATATGTACATAATCCCACTCTCCTAATACAGGTCTTTTTTCACTTTAGATTTTAATTATTGCAATCACCCAACCTCCTGCAGACTCTCTGCTTTCACTCTCACTTGCCAGAGTAACCTATGTAAAATACACACAGTCAAAAGAAAAAAGTCTACTTCCCTTTCCAGAAACTTCATATTTCTCTCAGATCAGGTTTAAACTTTTCAATCTGAGAGCTTTTACAGCAAGAACCCTTAACAGAGTCAGTAAATGCAGAATGTCTAGGGTGACATGTATAACTAAAAATACATATATAATGTTATAATTTTTATTTGAAAAATGATCTTTGCTTTTATAATGCAAATCTTCTCGGCTGGAATGTGGCTTTAAAAGCCTGAGATATACTACCCTTCAAAATCTGGCCCCCATAACCTATTTTCTCCTTTAGCCCACCCCAATTTCAACAACAATACCCTATTGTTTGAGGACTTGTTCAACTCTCTTGAGCATTGAGATGCCTTTTCACCCGTCTAATCTTCACCAGTGGCTCAGTGGTAAAGAATCTGCCAGCCAATGCAGGAGACACCCAATGCAGGAGACACGGGAGATGTGGAAAGATGCCCAAGAGGAAGAAATGGCAACCCATTCCAGTATTCTTGCCTGGCAAATCCCATGGACAGCGAAGCCAGTGGGCTACAGGCCACAGGGTCGCGAAGAGCTGGACACGACTGAACACACAAGCACACACAAAATCATCACCTTCTAAAAATCTATCCTCAGAATGTTTAACACTGCTAAAAATTTAAAGAAATTTATGTTCATCAAGAGGAACAGAATTATATAAAACATGGTAAGTCAACAGAGAACACTACACCAATATTAAAAATGATGAAGAGATACCTACAACAGCCTTATTAATTAACCCTTTGCTTACCTTTAGTTTCTGGTTATTCCTAACTCACTTCTGCCTTACTGGATTAGCGATAATTTCTGAACAAGCTTTAACATTTTATGTAATACTTAGAAGTGTTAAGCTTCTATCAAATATCTTCCTGCACTAGGTTGTAAGATCCTTGAGAGCAAAATCCATTCCTTTTCTTACTTTATATTGTTCCAGGGGTTGGTAAACACTTGAAAATTTGTTGTTTCAGCACTTAAAACTGTTAGCCAACAAAACAGGTAAAGAAATATTTGTTTAAAACTATTAAAAAAATAGCAACCCACAATTTTGTCTCTATCTTCCCTTAGACATTTGTACTTGTTCTGACTCTCACACTTCCCTTAATGAAGTAAAATTTATCTCATACAGTACTTAGCATAATCAGGGACTATGTTAAGCATCATTAAATCTTTACAAGACCACAGTGAAGTGGGTATGATTATTCTCATTTTACACATGAGGAAACTATGCCCTAAGATCACAGTTAAAAAGAAGCCGAGTTGAGATTCAAGCCTAAGTGAAGCATACTCCAAACCCTGGGCCTAATAAGTACGTTATACTTAACTTCTAACATGCCTTATCGTATATCCTTCTCTAAATTCATGCTATGATGATTTGGCAGGGTGCCTCTTTTTTAAGTGTGGGAAGAGCTTTCATAGATATTAAAATAGGCAAGTCCCGTTTATCTGTAAATAGATATAATGTTAGGCCATGGTAGGTATACAAAAATGTTTCCTGAATGAAAGCAACTGATGGTACTCTACTGAAGAAAGAACCATCTCTTCTTGAGTTACACAGTAAGAGAGATCTAATAACACTTCTGACTCTCAAATTGCTGCCTAAACTCAAGCTATCCCAATTCAACCATTAAATATATCTCAAAAAGGATACACACATGACTCTTCAAGTCATTTCTCAAACCTCTACGAACCAATTCATAAGCTTCTTCCTTTTTCCCCAAACAGTTCAATGTTAATCCTTTCATAGCCAGAGTTTCTATTTAAAAAACAAAAAAAGAAGAAACTTAAAAGATAACCAACAACAACAAAAAAGGTACCATAATCTCAAAAATAAATGCTACATTATTTTAAGTATTTAAAACTTCAAGGAGATTATTGACAAAATGTCCAGGCTTTTACAGAATTAAAATAATTTTTAAAATTGACAAATGAAGTAACTACACATTTCTATAATATAGGCCTCCCTAGAATTGTTTTTTAGATAAAAAGATACAAAAATGCATGAATATCTGGTAATGTATATGGTAACAAGACAAAATTATTTTCCATGGGATGACCTAATTAAACCACTCCTTTAAAGTATGGGAAAGTTAAATCCTGTAACAGACTCTGTGAACCCAAGTTAAACAGAAATTAAATTCACTGTTAAATGATTAAAATATATGCATCAATTATCTACATTTCTGATTTTTACCATTTTAAAACGATTCTTTGGGATCACTATTAAAAATACAAACTAAAGATGTCAGACATCCATCATTCACAATCCAAAGAGTTAAGGAAAATACTGATTTTCAGAAAGGGAAAAACAATACTTCTAATTTTACAATGTATATTTTATGAAGCACAAATGAGTATAAAATATTCACCATGGTTAATTTGCCTAACTTTTAGGACTACAAATTAAAATGTATAGAAAAATTAATTAGGGATAAAAGATAAGGATTAAAGATAGAAAGGAATCAATATTTATAGTAAAAGAGAGATAAAGAAATGGAAGTTAAAAAAAGAAAGAAAAAAGTATGTACTAATCATCATAAATCTGTATAAATTCAAGAAAAAAAGAAGCAAACAAAGTATATTTGGCAATTAGCCAAATTAGCAAGGTACTGTAGAAAGTAACACTTTGTTGTTAAACAGATAAAAATCTATTCTTATAAGAAACTCCTTCAAGTGTTTTAATGAAAATGTAGGTTTTAAGTTTAGAATAAATCATAACTTACTGCTGTTAAAACTACTACAATTAAATTATGACACTTCATAGGCAACCTGATTTCAGATGTGTTCAAATATGCGGGGAAAGTGCACTTATAGAAACAATAAAAGCTGGTTCTATGCTGTACTCAAACTCTGTGGTGTCTATACCACTAAAAGCTACATTACTGTTATGCATACTTTTGGGAAGAATATAAAACAACCTAATATCCAATTGGCTAGCAAAATTATGTATATATATAGATATAGGCCATGCGGCATGGCACACAGGATCTCAGTTTCCTGATAAGGGACTGAACCTGTGCCCCCTGCAATGAAAGCAGAGTCAACCACTGGATGTTCAGGAAGTCCCAAGCAAAACTGTTTTTTAAGAAGGAAATGGAGAAAGAAAATTTCACATACTCAATACCCACTGCTTTCTGTCTTTAAACAATGTTATTATAATGAAAGAATGCAAGAGTAAAGAAAGCTAACAGAGAATTATTACTCTCTCTTCAATACTCAGAAAACATCAACTTAACAAAGAACCATGTTTCCTAACTGTACAAATCAGACCTATAAAAGTTTATTGTTCCTTTGTCTCTTCAAAAGTTTTGCTACAAGCTCTGCCTTTGCCCTACAAACTTCTCACTGTCCAATCTTCTACCCTCACACAGGCTAAAGCTACATAAACTTTCAAAATATGTATAAATCATGTCTTAAACATGACTGTCTTCAAAAGCTAAGATACAATGCCCTAAATAAGAAGATGCTGGTTCATGAGCAAAGGCCCCAATGGACACTTTCTGAATAAATTTATTGTAAGGAATAAAATTTCTTCAGCTCAACCAAAGTTGTCAAGCAAAATTTTCTTGTAACCATTTTAAATAAACTTATTAAACTTAAATTAGTATATTTGTTTTACTAGGTTCTTTTGCCTTTCCTATGGTGCTAATATTCAAAGCAGGAATAAATCAGAACCCAAGTAGATCGTGTTATCACTTTCTCAACAATAAACTTAAACTATTAGTATTAAATATCTTCCCACAGGCATAAGGATAAAGTCCATTCTCTCTGGAAAATAGTCTTGGCAGCTGGGAGTAACAAAACCCAAATAAGTGAAATCAGACAAGTAAACAGAACCTTACCTACTTATGCTTACATGCAAGTGTACTACATTTACACTTACCTCCATGCTCAGCAAATTTGGGATTAGAGAGGATTTGTTTACAGAATTTCAATCCATTTCTGTACTGTTTATGTTCATAACATCTCTGTCAAAATAAAAAAGAAAAATTTAAGTTTAGTAAAAAAATGTAAACAACTTTAAATTTGGTGCTCAACTTTTGATTCTGTTAAACAGAACAAAATGATGTCATGTTACGTCCATATTCTAAATTTCACAAAAATGCCAATTACACACACACACACACACACACACACACGGAACTCCCTGGTGGCCTAGTAATTTGGATTTGGCACTTTCACTGCAGTAGCCTGGGTTTAATCCCTGGTTGGGAAACTGAGATCCTACAAGCCACATTCCACATTCAAAATTTTAAAAAAAAAAAAAAAGCAAGCCATACTGAGCAACCAAAATTTTTTTTAAAAATATAGAAAGTTAAAATACAGAAAGTAAAAGGTAGACAAAGGGACAGAACACACATTAGAAAAAATAAAGACAAGCATTAGCGGACTTCAAAAGGTCCAACAAGTGTTACTATAATGTGAAAATTGGGGGGAGAGGTGTAGAAATTATATTTTAAAATAACATTTTCTTTTTAACTGAAGGAAAAAAGTCTCTGAAGTCACAAGAGACAAACAAGTGCATGCAAATTAAAGAAGGGGGAAAAAGACACACACGTCATAATGAAAATTCAAAGCCAAGAAATAAAGGTCCTTAAAAACTTCTAGAGAGAAAAATAACAAGTCACATAAAAAGAATATGTAATCAGAATAGCACTGAAGGTTTATTCTAAAGTAAAAATGGTATACTGCTGAAAGTTATAAAATATCTACACAGTCTTCAAAATTCAGAATTCCTTACCCAGCTAAACTGTCGATCAAGTATGTAAGTAAAATGACATTTTAAGGCTTCTCAGAAAGTTAAAATTTTATCTTTGCACTCTTCCTTAGGAAGTTATTAAAAGGAATCAAAACAAAACAAAACAAAAAAGACAATGTGGGACTTGGTAAATAATCTAATGTAGAAAAAAGAACCACCACTCAAAAATGAAACAGGATGCCAGAGGCCACCATGGAATAGGTTTCTAGCAAGGTCAAAAATCAAACCTGTGTACTTCATAATATGGAAAATATTATTTATAAGCACATGATAGAATACAGGTACATTTGGGGAAAGTGACCAATGAGTCTATAGAAAACCAACTGAATAAGTAAGATAGATTTTAACTCCAGGAGAAATAAAGGCTTATGTAAGAAATTATGGTCTCAATGTAATATTTGGCTCAATAATAAATAATACACATATAATTATAGAAATGTAAATATTTAGTTCTGGTTTATCAAAATACTGTGATATAAGTACAATGACTGAATGAGGAAAAGACAAGTGAGCAAAGGTGCTAATGAAGTTCCAAGTTCTCCTTTTCTATAAATGTATCAACATGTGCTTTCATAACAGTAATTTTTAAAGCACTGTATTCACTACAGAAAATCTCTGCACCTTAAAGATATAATTTATGTCAGGATTTACTGTCCTAAGTTTAAACAAATTTTACTCTTAATTTTTTAAACAATACACTCAAAATGTGGCTGAGATAGTTAACACAAATGATAATAATCACAGGAAAAAAATGTGTAGAAACAAAAATGTAAAATTTTACATTCAGCACCAAGAAATCAACTGGCTAAAGCTCAACGCAAAAGCCAACCACAGAGCTGTTCTACAGTCAACTATGTACTCACCATCTCTATTTTATTGTTCACATCTCAAACCTAATACACAGTCCAAAACAGAACTGATTTCCACCCTTCAGAATTCACCACGTCTTTACCATCTCAAGAGATGCATTTCCTTCAACTCAACCTCATTCAGATGACAAAACAGGAAACCTAATTATCCTCTGTGCTTTCATCCCTGACACTTCCATCCTCTAATAGATTCATCAGTCCTAGTTTCTCTGCAATAGCTTCCTAACTCTCTGCTTCTCCCACAATCAACAGGCAAAATGATCTGAGGGATACAAGGGAGGGGAGGGCAGAAGCAGTAACTTAACCATATACAGCCAAAGAAACAGAAGACTAAGCAACTAAATTCAGTGTTCCTATTTACTCAGCAGAAAGCCTAAAACAATGTTTTTCTTATAATAATAGTAAAAGTCATTAAAGGAAGCTAATTAAAAGCGACACTCATGACTTGTCGCTGTTTTCCAGGAACTACACACAAGGGCTTCCCTGGTGGCTCAGTGGTAAAGAATCCTCCTGTCAATGCAGGAGACAAGGGTTCCATTCCTGGGTCGGGAAGGTCCCCTGAAGAAGAAAAGGGCAACCTACTCCAGTATTCTTAGCTGAGAAATCCCATGGTCAGAGGAGGGTTGTGGGCTAACAGCCCATGGGGTCACAAAGAGTCGGAAAAGACATAGCGACTAAACAAGAACATACATGCAAAGAATAATTTAAATACATTGTTCTTAAAGGCTTCAATTAGCTTTCTACAATTTTATTTCTGTAAAAATGTAGTAAGAGAACTTCCACTTTTGGCCATAGTGAAGTAAACAACAAAATGAAACAAAATGTATAAAATACCTGTTGTCAGACCCTGGACAACAGGCAGCACGGGCTGTGAACCATTGAGGCGGGGGAGGGACATGATACACTTGGTAATGTCACTGCCTTACAGATCACAGCACAGGAAGGATCTGAAACAGAGCATGTGACAGTCCAGAGATGAAGAGACAAAAACTGAAGTTCAGGGAGGCTGAGGTGTTCTGTGAGACAGAGTACTGAAAATGATGGAACTATTCAGAAAAAAGACGTCCAAAAATCTGCATGGGGTCCTTCATGCATCTGTTGCCGGAAATTACAAACCAAGTTAGGGGCAAAATACCTAGAGAAGTACTGGAGGTCTTAACAGTTGAGGCCCTCTCTGAGTCAGTCCCAGCTGAGAGCTCTCTGCACCACATACAGAAATTTTATTAACGTTAAGTATTATTAAAGCCAAGAGCTGTCATCTTCTAACAGATCTTCCAATCAACAAATTCAACTTTTATCTCATCTGTTGCTTCTTTGCTTACTCATTGTGTGTATGAGTGCATGCGTACCTGTGTGCTAAGTCAATCTGGTCATGTCTGATTCTGTGCGACCCCACGGACTATAGCCTGCCAGGCTCCTCTGTCCATGCGGTTTCCCAGGTCAGAATACTGGAGTGAGCAGCCATACTGGAAGATCCAGGGGATCTTCCCGGCCCAGGGATTGAACCTGTGTCTCCTGCACTGCAGGCCGACTGAGTCGCCAGGGAAACCAAATAGGCAATAAAAATGCCAAAAATAAGGTGACAAAAACAAACACACACAAAACAATTAACCAACTGGAAAATTCCCTCAAATAACTGAGTCTGCCAAATGAAGATTAAAAAAACCAACGTTTATTTGAATATGAGATGCTATACTACTTAGCTTTTTATTTTATCACACTTCAGAACAGTAATTATGTTTCAGTTCCTAATGATTATGTTCCAAATTAATGAAATTTGGTAGTCTTCCATATTGAAATTATACTAACCCAATTATCTTCTGTCAATGTGACCTGTAAAAATAATTAAAGATGGCATACCCTTCAGTGTGCATTTAAGGGAACAGACTTCAATCTATTTTTTTTCTAAAAAGCACTACTCCTACAACAGGTCATTCATTACAAATGAGAGCAGTAGTCTCATAGTTTACTGGAAAAAGTAACAACAGATATTCAACTTACTCTATCCCAGAAAAATTCCTAAAAAACTCTGCTTTTGCCCAAGGATAAACTCTAATGGCATACAGGGTTTACAAGAAAAATAGAAAGAGTGCATCATATTTCATTCAATAATTTCTTTCCTCCAAACATAAGGCCAGATATATGCATAATTCAGCTTTAATATAAGTGCCTGTCTAATCAAAATCCAATCTTATAAAAGCAGTCTTAAAATATAATAGTATAATATAAGGTGTCCTTTTCTGAACCATTTAAATGATGTAAATGAAAAAAAAATAGGAATTCGCTTGTTTTTGCAACTCCCATGTAACACTATCACTAAAGTTCATTCTACAGAACCATGGAAATAAATTTACCACAGTAAGATTCTTTCTTTTTTTAAATCATAAGATTTGTAATATTGTTTTAACCAAACTTGTAGGCTTAAATTTTTTAGAGAATTTATTTAAGGAAAAAGAGACTGAAAATACTACACAGTATATTGTGAGCAAAGATTTCACATCAGTTCAGTTAAAACAAGCTTCGTAAAATGACATAGTGGGCAGATGTATTAAGTCTTCACAGTAAAATCATCAAACTAAATAAAAATACATGTACAAAAAACAAACAAAAAAAATACATGTCCACAATCCTGTCTCTGAAATTCTTGTATATGGAGAGTTCTTGAAATTTCAGAATTATGAATAAGGGTCTCCCTTAGCATGCAATGAATGCCACAGTATTCTATTCTTCACTTGGCTTCTATTAATTCAAAATTAAACATAGTAGTATCAAAATATTAGAACACTACTGTAGACTGTTAGTTTTCCTTAGCAACTAAATTTTAAAATATCAACACTGCTACAGAAACAGTAAAGCGAAACAGGACATAATTAAAATAGAATGAACTGTTCAAATCCCATGTGCTAAATGTTGGCAACATACCCTGAGACTCCTGACTCCTGCTTCTAAATGTATAGGAATAACTGATACAGCTAGCTGATGCTCCTGCCAAGCATAAAACTGGTTAAGTAAATAAATAACTATTTTCAGCCACTGAACAAGGGCCAACACAGGATTGTGCACTTTCAGAAGGGAAACAAGGTAAATCTCAAGAAAGTGGGTTTTTTTTTTTTTTTGCCTAGAGGCATTTTCCAGACTGTAAAATAGAGAGGAAGAACAAAACCAGAACATGGCAGTCTTACTGATCTAAGCCGGTATCGGAGTTAGAAACTGCCTGAAAAGATGAAATTTACAGAGCAAGGTATCATCAAAAAGAACTGTACAGATATGAAGTTTTAGAAATCTGCACAAGAATCTTGGTCAAATATTAAATTGGTCAGGTACACTGCAGAATTCTACT